CCTCATTTACATGCTCGTGTGGAGCTGATGACATTGGACGTTGTAAGCTTGTTTCCCGTAAACGCGTAGCTGAACACTACCCGGTTTGGTTAATGAAAGGTGAGCCATAGGACGTTGAAGTCTTCAATTTGTTAGCACCTTCTGGAGTCAGGTCATTCAGACCCATGTGATTTATCCTTTAAAGTTATCTACAGGACCAAATCCAATCACTCCAAAATCTCACGTTTTCTTCACTTGTGTATAGCCAAAGCTCTAGCTATACATAGACAGAGACCTAAATTATGTGTTCAAAAAACGATTTGTCAAATTTCTTTCTTTACCTTGGTCATAGTAATGTTCCTTTTTTATTCTGGTGCAGATGCTTCGACGGTGTCTGGTCATGTATAATTAGAGGTTAATTGGTGAATGATGACTATCAGTGGAATCTAGGATGCGCATTTCATCCTATTTAGGACTCGTCATCCGGATGTACCTGAATTCCGCAGTGAGTGGTGATGTCCCCACCAAGACCCAAACCCAGTGCCCATAGTTTCAAACACCACAGCGTTATCGTAGGTTCTCGTGGCCTAAGTGGTCTAGTGGATAACGCTTTGGCGTTTGAAACTATGGGCACTGGGTTTGAGCCTCAGCGGGAACATCACCCACTGAGGAATGTAGGTACACCCGTTGACGAGTACCATGTGGGACGAAATGCACATCATGGATTCCAATGCTAGTTACCATCCACCAATTGACATGACCTATAATTTTAAAATCTTTATGCCAGTTCACTTATTTGAAAAGTTTTGTCATTTATTCACTTCAACTCTACCCCTTTAATACATAATTTTAATAATCTTTACTCTTATCATATGTGCAATATTGACTGAGCAATTTCTAGTGCTGATTTATTCAACTATTCCTATTATTCAGTGTATACATTCACTAGATTTGAGGATGGTATTTACAGCGTAACTGAGTATCATGACAGTGAGAGATAATCATCCTTCTAACTAGAACAGACACTTATCGTAAGCCCATATTTCCCCCCTAAGTGGTTGGAAAGAAAGCGCCTAAGTAACTATACTGTTAACGGTTAACATCATAAATTTAGTATGCCAGAAAAAACTCATCTTTAGCATTGTTAACAGCGACTGGACATCTGATAACAATGTAAAGTGTAACAGGCAGGTAGACCTTTAAAGCCCCTGATCCTGCTGTGTTATTCAATTATTCTGCTACACTTATACGGATGTCCACATTTTAATCAAAATAAATTTCATAAGTAATGTATTTTTTCATCAGTCATTATTGATTGTTATTTTAAAATCCTCATAGTGTAATCACATCAGTACAAAATGGTTTTGTGTGAACAATTCGAGTTTCGATAACTTCTTCTGCAGGTTCTACAGTTTTAAATCTATGAATATTAGAGTGAAAATAGCCAGCCAGTAAAGGGAAGTGACAGTTATATCAGAAACTGTTTTGTTGGGGTATATGTGTACAAGACGGAATGATAGTTAGTTAGTTAATTATTGTCAACTGAATATCAAATGTACAGTTATTCAGAAGATAACATAGCATGTGAATAGACAACTGGATCGCGTGCTAATATATTTATAGTCAACAGAGCCTGAGGAAGAAGTTATCAAAACCATCTTGATATGATTATTCATTGTTTTTGTACATTTCATTGCTTTTTTTATCTTGTTGCTTTTTGTCAGCGGGGTGGTTTAATTGTCTTTTTCAGCCCTTCTGAAATTCGAAACCGTGTCACCCATTGAGTCCTGCAGTCGGAGACACTAGACACATCACACAAGTTACTAGCAAGTACCCAATAGTCCTACAGTAGATCAGTCGCTAGCCCGAATAGCTCAGTGGTAACGTCTTTGATCGCAGTACTCACTAGGTGATGCGGGTCTGAATCTCAGAAGAGGCATGAGTTCTCTCAAGGGGGTTGCAGATACGCCTAGCCGAATGACTGGTGAGTGTCAACTAGCACGATATTTAGGTGATGTCCAAGAATTCCTGTAGCTGATTACCTCCAACCATCTAATATCATCAAATCTATATAAGGTGTTTAACAAGACATTAGTTTATTACAGTGTTGTACAACTAACAAAAGATGTATATTGGTTTTAAAGGTTTTTTTTTGATTCGTTGGAGGATTTCATCATGAGCTGACATCAGTTAGAGAACCAGTGGAAAAAATTCAGGGAGTACTGGACGGCTGTTTATGTCATCCTAGTTTGGGACTCTTTAGTAGTACGCATCCACCGCCAAGTTTCGAGCCCAGGACCTCGAGGTTACAAGGTGGGCTAGCTCGTAGACCATTCAGCCACCGGGACATATCCATTGTCCATTCCATGAATTCCTACTTCTGCCAATTCATGACCTAGCGCGACCACTGCGGAACTAGCGCGGACGAAATAGCTGTCCACTGCTCCTCGCTGGTTTTCCAATGGTTCTGTAATTGATGTCAGTTCACGATGAAATCCTGTAACTAATCAATCAAATCCCTATAAACCAATACTTGAATATATTTTACAAATTTACGATGAGTCACAGTACGACTTCTTTAATTGGTTTTCTTACAAATTTATTCGATTTGCTGACTTGATTGAATCGATACGCTTTATCTTTTCACAGCTATCAGAAAAGAAGCTGTGGTTATTTGTTTTATTCACCTTTATTACGACGACAAAGTGTTCAACAACTATCTATGGTGAATAGTTAAAATCTTGCTGAGATCCAAATGTTTTTATAATTTAATTTATCAATTCTAGTGGTGAAGATTTATGACTGTCCATTTTTTAAACCAACTTCAAAAGGAAGTATAATTTGCTAGAAGAGCAATAAAAACTTTAGGGGTATTGTTAGGCGGTTTCATTTAATCTTAGACTCTTCAACTACACTCAGTGCCATGACTTCATAAGGCAGTGAATTTTGGAATATCAAGTTTAGCGACAAATGAGTCATGATTTAGTCAACAGGTCCGTGATATTCAATTTTTTGTCATGTTTTATCATACAGAAAAATATGATGTTGGTGTTGATCAAATATCTCAAGATATTGTAGATGTGCTCTGTTTTTAAATGACTTAAAATAATTTAAAACAGTTTCTCAGCTTATCTCCTTGTTCCTCAGTAAGCCATTTCCAAGTGAATGATGAATAGCTAGTTTTTTTCGCGTTAAGTGTAATTTCCGGACATCCACATAAGAAATAATGAAATGTGGAGTTCTTGAGATATAAAGTATATATCAGACAAACTCCATTATGAATAGAATTTTATTTGGATTAAATCACACACTGGTGTTCTACAGTAATTATTATAATTTACTGATGACCACGTCTCCAGTTGAGCACAATTTACTGCTCCTCATAATCCTCATATCAAAGCACTCACTACTCACACAACTTTCTTGCTTCATTTATACACATGGGTAAAAATTGATGATTAGACATTTGACTAAAATCAGTAATATAAGATAAAGTACACTTTCAGAAATAATAATGTGAGTGTTATCAATCAAATACAATTGGATGGGAAATAAGAAGTGTTTTTCTAGTAAAATAAATAAATAACTTGTTAGGATGTCATAATGTCAATTGAATATATATTTTAACATTATTTATTGTCCTCTGATTTGACTGCTGGAAATAATATCTTCCATATCTCTGGTATTTGTGCCGAGTCACTTCGGTCGCTTGTGTTAGGTATAGATTCGATGAACCAGGTAGGATTCAGTAATCAGTCTCTCTCTCTACACCCACCTACCTATATTACTGTTAGAATTTTGACCCTCTCCCAAACCTATTGTATCGTTATGTTTTAATGCATGCAGTGCAATTACTGAACTCTCTTCCAAATTACTTATCATCGTGGGAACCATCAAACTAGTAGATCGGAGTAGTGAGATTATCAGAACATAAGAATTTAGCTAAGAATAGAATGACTGACTCCATGAGGACAAATAATTTAGAAAAAAGCTCAGCAGTTGCACTGCATGCATTAAAACATGACGATACAATAGGGTTGGGAGAAGGTCAAAATTCTAACAGTAATATAGGTAGGTAGGTGTAGAGAGAGAGACTGATTACTGAATCCTACCTGGTTCATCGAATCTATACCTAACACACGCGACTGAAGTGACTAGGCACAAATACCAGAGATATGGAAGATATTATTTCCAGCAGTCAAATCAGAGGAGAATAAATAATGTTAAAATGTATTCAATTCACATATTATAACATTCTAACACGTTAATTATTTTTACTGTGAAAAACATTTTATTTCCCATCTGATTGTACTCTATTGACAGAATTAATATTATTTTCGAATGTATTTTATCTTAACCTGGTTTTATTCAAACTGTTTTGTCACAGTCTACAACTCTTCAACCGTGTGCATTTATTGTCCTACAAAGGATTATATTAAAGACTTTCAATTTACTAGATGTGACGACAGTAGGTTGCAGATATTGAGTTGAAATATGAAGGCCTTAAGCTTTGATCCCTAGAGTGATTGATTATCCAATGAACAATGCTCATGAGGAAGTCTCAAACTATTTCGACCTTTTAAATAAAGTTATTTTGTGAATTAAATTCATCACTGAATGTAAAAATCTTCTTGGAATACACTGAGCTGTTTGAATTTTTAAAACAAAGTGTACAAACATATCATAAATACGATTTTTGTTAGACATTTACACGGATTAATATACGAGTGACAAAATTATACGTATATAAATAAAATAATTACATAAACTATAACTTACCAGTGCGTCGGTGGCACAGTGGTAGAATACTTGCCAACCACGCCTCCTCACGTGGTCCGGAGTTCGATCCCCGGCCACCGACTCACTCCTAGTAATAATATACTGATAAAGAGGAAAAATTGGCCATGAGGCTAGTAATCTTATCCCCTTAAAAAAATAAACAAACAACTACTACCAAAACTTCAAACTTCTAGCTTGAAGTTCTACTCGGAACGTGAAAGAATAAAAAGCTAATAACTCACCAGTTGGCAGAATAACTGGAACAATACTTGTAGCTGGTCTGGTAGCCAGAGAGAATTCAACAAAACTGTAGGTGGGAAATCCATCATATGTTACTGTTGGCGTTGTAGCAGACGATGCTAGTGTAGTGTTGCTACTGCCTGTTGCTGCTGTTGTTGTTGTTGCTGGTGATGCTACTGTTGTACTCACGGTATCTTCAGGTTCTGGTTCTTTAAAAGGGAATATATTGAAAATTATTGAAAGTATTATCATGACATATTTTTCAGACTACTTTTCATTAATATATAATAAAAATTAGGTTATATGTCTAGCGTCACACAAACATCTACAGACGAATAACGGTAAGTTGGCAGAAGAGGATGGATAAGGTTGCCAGCGAGGATAGGATTTCAATTGAGCAAAGAGAAGACAGAGGTGATGAAGAAACCCAACAACAAAAAGTACTAATCACTATCAGCGAGAGTAACCCGAAGAAAATTGCCTCTTTCACTTATTTGGCTAGGCAGAATCGTTTCAAATTACAGGTGGGTGGCACAGATAAAAATGTCAAAGTCGGATAGGATTGTAAATCTCTAATTTTCAGCACTTATATTAAGTCAGTAGTTTTTATCACATGATTCAGAGACCTGTGACTACTGCAGACGTATATCAGCAGCTCTGTGTTCGCTTGACATTGAAGGTCGAATCGCCTGACAAAAACGATAGGTAGCAAACAACTGTAACAAGCAATGAACTATCCAGAAACCTACAACCCAAAAAAATATTTAGAAGGAAATGGAGATGCATTGGATATATGCTCAGAAGACTGATGAATAACATCACACACGTCAGGTTAGCACTCTAGGGAGGGCGTGAACCCGAAAGGGGAGCAACGTAATAGGCGTCGCTCCAAGGGTGGTATGAAAGGGGGTCGTGTGAGAAGGAAATGAGAAATGTTGTGGGCAGTTATGCACTCAGTGAAAAAAAGGACTCCAGAGAACAGAGTAAAAACGGTGACGTATTCCACTTGGAACTGAGAAGTTATTATTCATTGTTTCCTTTAGTTCTTACAGGAATATAGAGCTTCAGCCTCACGTCTCCATTGCTTTCAGTTCTACGCCAACGTTTTCACCTGTCTCCACGTCTGCTCCTGTGCTTTCATCTCCTCTTCACATGACCTCCTCAATGTTGTCACCCTCTCACTGACGATCATCTGGCCGCTTCCCATTCGAATTTCACTCGAGTAATCACCTGGTTTGTAATGCCACTTGACGGTTTGTTGTCTCAGAGTATGGCCAGTCCATCTCCATTTCTTCCTGAATATTTGTTGCACAGTCGGTTTCTGCTAGTTTGGTTTGTTATTCCTAGAGGTACGTGTTGCTGATCTTTTCTGGCTGACTATCTGATCTTGAGTAGTACTGAGCGAAGACAACTGTTGATATGAAGGTCTGTAGTTTGTTCGAAGTGCCCTTTGTTACGCAGCGCGGTGCCAAGTCTCTGATCCATAAAGTAGCGTTGACTTCACTGAATTTGTAAGCTTATCTTGAGCATTAATATCAATCAATCAATCAGTCATCTGGGGCTGATTTTCCTGCCACTTGGAAAAGCAAAATAAATAGTCAACTGAGTATGCTTCACGTTTTGACAGCATTTATTTGTTAATATCAGATAATCTCTTCATTATGGTTAATTTCTTTACACAAAGAATATTCCTGATTTTATTATTATTATTTATTATTGTTCCCTTGGGTTCCTAGTGGAACATAAGGCTTCAACTGCACGCCTCCACTTGCCACTTCTGTCTTCTACTGTACTTTTCACCTGCATCCATGTTAGTCGATACTCCTTCAACTCCTCTTCACACGATCTCCTCCATGTCACACTCGTACTGACATCCCACTCACCGCTTCCCTTTCGGGTTCCACTCGAGTAATGGCCTGACGCTCGCGCGATGTCACCCAGCGGCGGCCTCCTCAGAGAGTGTCCAATCCATCTCCACTTTCTCCTGCATATTTGTTGGGCGTTTGGTTCTTGCTTTGTTTGTTCCCATAGTTCCTTGTTGGTGATTCTTTCCGGCCCAGCCATCTGATCTTCAGTATAGAGCGGAGACAGTTGTTGATAAAGGACTGAGTTAGCCTGTTGGAAATATTCTTTGTGATCCCCCGCCAAGTTTCTGATTTGTATAGAAGAACTAACTGACTTGACGTTTGTATTGAAAATCCGACCGAATTTTGTTGTTGATGCTGAGTGACGAAGATTTCCAGATTGATTTCGGGTTGATGAATGTGTTTCTCGCTCGCCTTCCCGATTCTCGCTCGATTTGACATCCTTGTCTGTTCCGACTGCCTGCAGTTGAGACAATGCTCCCTAGATAAGTGAGTGAAGTGAACTCTTTCAAATCCCTCCCGTTGATGGTGATTGACACTGGATGTTGCTGATGTTGTTGTTGTTGGTTGGTTGGTTGGTTATTTTCATCACCTCCGTCTTGTTTATGTTCACTTAGAGTTCTGTCTTTTCTGCTTTTTCCTCATTTGGGTATTATATATGTGTATGTCATAGGATTCGTTCGTTTAATAAATATGAATGACGCGATTTAACCACTTTGGTATGATTCTTTGTCAACTGGGTTTACACCTCTAGCAGACACATTAGGATGTCTTCACTGTCTAGGCTGAGTTTTTCTCAATAAGCAGAGGGACAAGACTATAAAGCTTTCTCAAATTGATAAAATTGTAAATATTGGTGGTTGATGTATAGAGAAAATCGATGGATAATAATATAAAATGTCTTGTAACTCAATAAATAACGAGTATTTTAGGTTAAAGGAATAACTAATTAGTTATTGAATTCACTTTGAACTTTCCTGTTGATTGATTGCACTGGCATGCTCAACCTGTGTGTGTATGTGTGTCGAAATGTCAGCTCATTGTAAGAGAGGGTACTTTTACGATGCCTAAAGATTCAACCTGAAACAATTTCATGGATGATGACTTGCAGTGGAATCCAGAATGTGCAATTCGTCCCATATACAACTAACCATCTAGATGTACTGAAATAAACAGTAGCTGATATCCATTACAAAACAGATGGTTCTCGTGAACCAGCAGGTCTGGTGGTTAACATTCTGACGTTTGAGACTTAAACGTCCTAAGTTTGAGCCTCATTAGGAAAACTATCAATCGCCTGGGAATGCGGGTGCTTCCAGAAGACGAACCTCGAATAGAATGAAATGCGCGTCCTGGATTCCATTGGTAGTCGACATCCACGAAACTAAGTAGGCATTCTACATCATTTTATAGCTTTTAAACCTTTATCGCTAATCTGAAAGTTTGAATGACTGATTATTTTCCATCATCTGTCTGTTTGTCTGTTTTCGACATAGAACATTGCACCGTTGTGCGGCTGTTCGAGTCGCCACACTCCGACCGATAGCTGCTACCTTGGTGTGGTGGTCGGGCTTGCACATCGCAATGACCCAACAAGCTGCGCTGGCTGGAACCAATGTTCCTGCAGGTCCTACCATGCCAGGAAGGTTGTTAGGATAGCGATTAGACTAAAAGCAGTTACCGGCATTGTGTAAGAATCTTTCTTACACTATGCTGGGGGTCTGAGGACGAAGTCTTACAGTTAAGGAACAGAGGTGTAATAGCAGTGAGGTGTTTCCCGCAGATGACCAGCCTGCCATCTAAGGTGTCTCTCCACTTCGGAGAGTGGAGGTTAGAAAAGTTTGACCTAAAAAATTGTACATCCTGACTTACCCTACGGCGGTAAGTTTACTAATGCGGAACAAAACCAAGAAATTAGTTCATACTACCGTGTGTGACCGACTTCAAGCAGTTTTCCCCTGGGCTATGTGGTCATTCAACACTAACCATCATTCTGTTTCAGGTACCTGAAGAACCAATCAACTTCCACTGGGAGTAACAACCGCCAACATACTTCCCAAAAGCATTTTGCATCATAGAAGTTTTGAATCAAAAGTGGAGCACATCAATCTGTTTTATTGCACTTAGTAGACAACGCAATTATAAAGAACAGAAATGTGCCGTAAGAAAGAATAATAGCACGGGAAAAATGCGAATAAGACCTCCGTAGCTGAGTGGTCAGAGCACTGGTCTTGTAGATCAGGGATCAGGAGTTCCATCCTCCTTGAGGCAAACGCTTTTAGGTATAAATAGGCTACACAAAACTTTCATCTCGCAATAGCATTCTATTATCTATTGTTCGCTTTGTTTTAATCGGTTGAGATGTCACCTCTATGTGTATTATCTACCCAGGTGTGTACTTCAAATGTTTACAAGCTTGTGTTTCATAAGATTCTACTAAATTTGAAATAAAAAAAGCAGATATATATCATAATGGAATGATTTGTGTTACAAATCACAGACTATTGTGTCACAGGAAGGATATACCATCAATTAATATTTTATACTTGAAGATATTGTATTGATGAAAAATATCATGGAATAAACTCTTCTTTACATTTACTAAATTCTGTCCAGAATAAAGATATTATTATTATTATTATTTAAAGCATTATCAACAATGGTCGCCAGGCGTAGGTTCTAAGTTGCCGATGATAGTCTACACTGTCATATGAGACTACCTCTATCAAAATGTCAAAGACTTTATAGATTCATGCTAGGTTTTGGTTTGATCATTCTTGATTGTTTCGAGAATTTGTTACGAATTTAGTAATTAAAAAACGAGTGATCAGCAGAGAAAAGTGAACTAACGAAACTTGCTGATATCTCAGCGGTGAACACGTGTCAAATCATAATTCTGTGAGAGTACACAAAAGTTGATAAGATTCATGAACGACCTCCGATCGGAATAAATGAAAGTAAGAAGGAAAAGCTGGTACCTTAAAATTATAACGCATACAAAAAACACATTAAACCACTAGTAAAATTAATTCAGATGAAAAGTAAGCATGATGAAAATAATTTCCATGGAAACAACATAAATCGGTAAAACTAGAAAACCAAAACCAACACGAAAAAAAAACTCACGAAAAACAGACGAAGAAAAAGATTGCGACGAGGAAGAAGCTGAGAAGGCAGACGCAGAAGCAGTAGAAAGCGTAGCCGCTACCGACGTCTGAGTGACCGAAGACAAATCCTGCATCTGTGACGAAAACTGAGAGGTGAGTAAGGTTGTTGGTAGTGTAGGTGTTGATCCGGTTAATTGTGGAGTGGAGGAGATGTTTGCGATTGCGATAGGGGGTGATTGTGTTTGAGGAGTCGGTGTTGTCGCATTAGGTGTTGACGACGTCTGTATTTGAGGAGTTGTCGGTGTCTGTGTTTGTGGAGAGATTGGCGAGGAAGCAGTTGTGTTAGCGGTGACTGGTGTTCCCGTGGCCGTGGCCGTGGCCGTTGGTGTGGCTGTGAGTGTGGCTGTGAGTGTGGGTGTGGGTGTGGCTGTCGGTGATGTTGTTGATATGAGTATTGGTGTTGGTGTAGCTGATGCGTTTTGTGTTGCGATTGGTGATGTCGCCGGAGACGTGGGTGACGTTGATGTCGATTGTGGTGATGGTGTTGGCGAGAGTGATGAAGGTGTTGATGTTATTGATGTTTGATTGGCTGAGGAGAGTTCTTGTGTGGGCGATGATGTTTGAGAGGTGAGTGTGGTTGTTGGTAGTGTAGGTGTTGATCCGGTTAATTGTGGAGTGGAGGAGATGTTTGCGATTGCGATAGGGGGTGATTGTGTTTGAGGAGTCGGTGTTGTCGCATTAGGTGTTGACGACGTCTGTATTTGAGGAGTTGTCGGTGTCTGTGTTTGTGGAGAGATTGGCGAGGAAGCAGTTGTGTTAGCGGTGACTGGTGTTCCCGTGGCCGTGGCCGTGGCCGTTGGTGTGACTGTGAGTGTGGCTGTGAGTGTGGGTGTGGGTGTGGCTGTCGGTGATGTTGTGGATATGAGTATTGGTGTTGGTGTAGCTGATGCGTTTTGTGTTGCGATTGGTGATGTCGCCGGAGACGTGGGTGACGTTGATGTCGATTGTGGTGATGGTGTTGGCGAGAGTGATGAAGGTGTTGATGTTATTGATGTTTGATTGGCTGAGGAGAGTTCTTGTGTGGGCGATGATGTTTGAGAGGTGAGTGTGGTTGTTGGTAGTGTAGGTGTTGATCCGGTTAATTGTGGAGTGGAGGAGATGTTTGCGATTGCGATAGGGGGTGATTGTGTTTGAGGAGTCGGTGTTGTCGCATTAGGTGTTGACGACGTCTGTATTTGAGGAGTTGTCGGTGTCTGTGTTTGTGGAGAGATTGGTGAGGAAGCAGTTGTGTTAGCGGTGACTGGTGTTCCCGTGGCCGTGGCCGTGGCCGTTGGTGTGGCTGTGACTGTGGCTGTGAGTGTGGCTGTGGGTGTGGCTGTGAGTGTGGGTGTGGGTGTGGCTGTCGGTGATGTTGTGGATATGAGTATTGGTGTTGGTGTAGCTGATGCGTTTTGTGTTGCGATTGGTGATGTCGCCGGAGACGTGGGTGACGTTGATGTCGATTGTGGTGATGGTGTTGGCGAGAGTGATGAAGGTGTTGATGTTATTGATGTTTGATTGGCTGAGGAGAGTTCTTGTGTGGGCGATGATGTTTGAGAGGTGAGTGTGGTTGTTGGTAGTGTAGGTGTTGATCCGGTTAATTGTGGAGTGGAGGAGATGTTTGCGATTGCGATAGGGGGTGATTGTGTTTGAGGAGTCGGTGTTGTCGCATTAGGTGTTGACGACGTCTGTATTTGAGGAGTTGTCGGTGTCTGTGTTTGTGGAGAGATTGGCGAGGAAGCAGTTGTGTTAGCGGTGACTGGTGTTCCCGTGGCCGTGGCCGTGGCCGTTGGTGTGGCTGTGAGTGTGGCTGTGAGTGTGGGTGTGGGTGTGGCTGTCGGTGATGTTGTGGATATGAGTATTGGTGTTGGTGTAGCTGATGCGTTTTGTGTTGCGATTGGTGATGTCGCCGGAGACGTGGGTGACGTTGATGTCGATTGTGGTGATGGTGTTGGCGAGAGTGATGAAGGTGTTGATGTTATTGATGTTTGATTGGCTGAGGAGAGTTCTTGTGTGGGCGATGATGTTTGAGAGGTGAGTGTGGTTGTTGGTAGTGTAGGTGTTGATCCGGTTAATTGTGGAGTGGAGGAGATGTTTGCGATTGCGATAGGGGGTGATTGTGTTTGAGGAGTCGGTGTTGTCGCATTAGGTGTTGACGACGTCTGTATTTGAGGAGTTGTCGGTGTCTGTGTTTGTGGAGAGATTGGTGAGGAAGCAGTTGTGTTAGCGGTGACTGGTGTTCCCGTGGCCGTGGCCGTGGCTGTTGGTGTGACTGTGACTGTGGGTGTGGCTGTGAGTGTGGGTGTGGGTGTGGCTGTCGGTGATGTTGTGGATATGAGTATTGGTGTTGGTGTAGCTGATGCGTTTTGTGTTGCGATTGGTGATGTCGCCGGAGACGTGGGTGACGTTGATGTCGATTGTGGTGATGGTGTTGGCGAGAGTGATGAAGGTGTTGATGTTATTGATGTTTGATTGGCTGAGGAGAGTTCTTGTGTGGGCGATGATGTTTGAGAGGTGAGTGTGGTTGTTGGTAGTGTAGGTGTTGATCCGGTTAATTGTGGAGTGGAGGAGATGTTTGCGATTGCGATAGGGGGTGATTGTGTTTGAGGAGTCGGTGTTGTCGCATTAGGTGTTGACGACGTCTGTATTTGAGGAGTTGTCGGTGTCTGTGTTTGTGGAGAGATTGGCGAGGAAGCAGTTGTGTTAGCGGTGACTGGTGTTCCCGTGGCCGTGGCCGTGGCCGTTGGTGTGGCTGTGAGTGTGGCTGTGAGTGTGGGTGTGGGTGTGGCTGTCGGTGATGTTGTGGATATGAGTATTGGTGTTGGTGTAGCTGATGCGTTTTGTGTTGCGATTGGTGATGTCGCCGGAGACGTGGGTGACGTTGATGTCGATTGTGGTGATGGTGTTGGCGAGAGTGATGAAGGTGTTGATGTTATTGATGTTTGATTGGCTGAGGAGAGTTCTTGTGTGGGCGATGATGTTTGAGAGGTGAGTGTGGTTGTTGGTAGTGTAGGTGTTGATCCGGTTAATTGTGGAGTGGAGGAGATGTTTGCGATTGCGATAGGGGGTGATTGTGTTTGAGGAGTCGGTGTTGTCGCATTAGGTGTTGACGACGTCTGTATTTGAGGAGTTGTCGGTGTCTGTGTTTGTGGAGAGATTGGCGAGGAAGCAGTTGTGTTAGCGGTGACTGGTGTTCCCGTGGCCGTGGCCGTGGCCGTTGGTGTGGCTGTGAGTGTGGCTGTGAGTGTGGGTGTGGGTGTGGCTGTCGGTGATGTTGTGGATATGAGTATTGGTGTTGGTGTAGCTGATGCGTTTTGTGTTGCGATTGGTGATGTCGCCGGAGACGTGGGTGACGTTGATGTCGATTGTGGTGATGGTGTTGGCGAGAGTGATGAAGGTGTTGATGTTATTGATGTTTGATTGGCTGAGGAGAGTTCTTGTGTGGGCGATGATGTTTGAGAGGTGAGTGTGGTTGTTGGTAGTGTAGGTGTTGATCCGGTTAATTGTGGAGTGGAGGAGATGTTTGCGATTGCGATAGGGGGTGATTGTGTTTGAGGAGTCGGTGTTGTCGCATTAGGTGTTGACGACGTCTGTATTTGAGGAGTTGTCGGTGTCTGTGTTTGTGGAGAGATTGGTGAGGAAGCAGTTGTGTTAGCGGTGACTGGTGTTCCCGTGGCCGTGGCCGTGGCTGTTGGTGTGACTGTGACTGTGGGTGTGGCTGTGAGTGTGGGTGTGGGTGTGGCTGTCGGTGATGTTGTGGATATGAGTATTGGTGTTGGTGTAGCTGATGCGTTTTGTGTTGCGATTGGTGATGTCGCCGGAGACGTGGGTGACGTTGATGTCGATTGTGGTGATGGTGTTGGCGAGAGTGATGAAGGTGTTGATGTTATTGATGTTTGATTGGCTGAGGAGAGTTCTTGTGTGGGCGATGATGTTTGAGAGGTGAGTGTGGTTGTTGGTAGTGTAGGTGTTGATCCGGTTAATTGTGGAGTGGAGGAGATGTTTGCGATTGCGATAGGGGGTGATTGTGTTTGAGGAGTCGGTGTTGTCGCATTAGGTGTTGACGACGTCTGTATTTGAGGAGTTGTCGGTGTCTGTGTTTGTGGAGAGATTGGCGAGGAAGCAGTTGTGTTAGCGGTGACTGGTGTTCCCGTGGCCGTGGCCGTGGCCGTTGGTGTGGCTGTGAGTGTGGCTGTGAGTGTGGGTGTGGGTGTGGCTGTCGGTGATGTTGTGGATATGAGTATTGGTGTTGGTGTAGCTGATGCGTTTTGTGTTGCGATTGGTGATGTCGCCGGAGACGTGGGTGACGTTGATGTCGATTGTGGTGATGGTGTTGGCGAGAGTGATGAAGGTGTTGATGTTATTGATGTTTGATTGGCTGAGGAGAGTTCTTGTGTGGGCGATGATGTTTGAGAGGTGAGTGTGGTTGTTGGTAGTGTAGGTGTTGATCCGGTTAATTGTGGAGTGGAGGAGATGTTTGCGATTGCGATAGGGGGTGATTGTGTTTGAGGAGTCGGTGTTGTCGCATTAGGTGTTGACGACGTCTGTATTTGAGGAGTTGTCGGTGTCTGTGTTTGTGGAGAGATTGGTGAGGAAGCAGTTGTGTTAGCGGTGACTGGTGTTCCCGTGGCCGTGGCCGTGGCCGTTGGTGTGGCTGTGAGTGTGGCTGTGAGTGTGGGTGTGGGTGTGGCTGTCGGTGATGTTGTGGATATGAGTATTGGTGTTGGTGTAGCTGATGCGTTTTGTGTTGCGATTGGTGATGTCGCCGGAGACGTGGGTGACGTTGATGTCGATTGTGGTGATGGTGTTGGCGAGAGTGATGAAGGTGTTGATGTTATTGATGTTTGATTGGCTGAGGAGAGTTCTTGTGTGGGCGATGATGTTTGAGAGGTGAGTGTGGTTGTTGGTAGTGTAGGTGTTGATCCGGTTAATTGTGGAGTGGAGGAGATGTTTGCGATTGCGATAGGGGGTGATTGTGTTTGAGGAGTCGGTGTTGTCGCATTAGGTGTTGACGACGTCTGTATTTGAGGAGTTGTCGGTGTCTGTGTTTGTGGAGAGATTGGCGAGGAAGCAGTTGTGTTAGCGGTGACTGGTGTTCCCGTGGCCGTGGCCGTGGCCGTTGGTGTGGCTGTGACTGTGGCTGTGAGTGTGGCTGTGGGTGTGGCTGTGAGTGTGGGTGTGGGTGTGGCTGTCGGTGATGTTGTGGATATGAGTATTGGTGTTGGTGTAGCTGATGCGTTTTGTGTTGCGATTGGTGATGTCGCCGGAGACGTGGGTGACGTTGATGTCGATTGTGGTGATGGTGTTGGCGAGAGTGATGAAGGTGTTGATGTTATTGATGTTTGATTGGCTGAGGAGAGTTCTTGTGTGGGCGATGATGTTTGAGAGGTGAGTGTGGTTGTTGGTAGTGTAGGTGTTGATCCGGTTAATTGTGGAGTGGAGGAGATGTTTGCGATTGCGATAGGGGGTGATTGTGTTTGAGGAGTCGGTGTTGTCGCATTAGGTGTTGACGACGTCTGTATTTGAGGAGTTGTCGGTGTCTGTGTTTGTGGAGAGATTGGCGAGGAAGCAGTTGTGTTAGCGGTGACTGGTGTTCCCGTGGCCGTTGGTGTGGCTGTGAGTGTGGCTGTGAGTGTGGGTGTGGGTGTGGCTGTCGGTGATGTTGTTGATATGAGTATTGGTGTTGGTGTAGCTGATGCGTTTTGTGTTGCGATTGGTGATGTCGCCGGAGACGTGGGTGACGTTGATGTCGATTGTGGTGATGGTGTTGGCGAGAGTGATGAAGGTGTTGATGTTATTGATGTTTGATTGGCTGAGGAGAGTTCTTGTGTGGGCGATGATGTTTGAGAGGTGAGTGTGGTTGTTGGTAGTGTAGGTGTTGATCCGGTTAATTGTGGAGTGGAGGAGATGTTTGCGATTGCGATAGGGGGTGATTGTGTTTGAGGAGTCGGTGTTGTCGCATTAGGTGTTGACGACGTCTGTATTTGAGGAGTTGTCGGTGTCTGTGTTTGTGGAGAGATTGGCGAGGAAGCAGTTGTGTTAGCGGTGACTGGTGTTCCCGTGGCCGTTGGTGTGGCTGTGAGTGTGGCTGTGAGTGTGGGTGTGGGTGTGGCTGTCGGTGATGTTGTTGATATGAGTATTGGTGTTGGTGTAGCTGATGCGTTTTGTGTTGCGATTGGTGATGTCGCCGGAGACGTGGGTGACGTTGATGTCGATTGTGGTGATGGTGTTGGCGAGAGTGATGAAGGTGTTGATGTTATTGATGTTTGATTGGCTGAGGAGAGTTCTTGTGTGGGCGATGATGTTTGAGAGGTGAGTGTGGTTGTTGGTAGTGTAGGTGTTGATCCGGTTAATTGTGGAGTGGAGGAGATGTTTGCGATTGCGATAGGGGGTGATTGTGTTTGAGGAGTCGGTGTTGTCGCATTAGGTGTTGACGACGTCTGTATTTGAGGAGTTGTCGGTGTCTGTGTTTGTGGAGAGATTGGCGAGGAAGCAGTTGTGTTAGCGGTGACTGGTGTTCCCGTGGCCGTGGCCGTGGCCGTTGGTGTGGCTGTGAGTGTGGGTGTGGGTGTGGCTGTCGGTGATGTTGTGGATATGAGTATTGGTGTTGGTGTAGCTGATGCGTTTTGTGTTGCGATTGGTGATGTCGCCGGAGACGTGGGTGACGTTGATGTCGATTGTGGTGATGGTGTTGGCGAGAGTGATGAAGGTGTTGATGTTATTGATGTTTGATTGGCTGAGGAGAGTTCTTGTGTGGGCGATGATGTTTGAGAGGTGAGTGTGGTTGTTGGTAGTGTAGGTGTTGATCCGGTTAATTGTGGAGTGGAGGAGATGTTTGCGATTGCGATAGGGGGTGATTGTGTTTGAGGAGTCGGTGTTGTCGCATTAGGTGTTGACGACGTCTGTATTTGAGGAGTTGTCGGTGTCTGTGTTTGTGGAGAGATTGGCGAGGAAGCAGTTGTGTTAGCGGTGACTGGTGTTCCCGTGGCCGTTGGTGTGGCTGTGAGTGTGGCTGTGAGTGTGGGTGTGGGTGTGGCTGTCGGTGATGTTGTTGATATGAGTATTGGTGTTGGTGTAGCTGATGCGTTTTGTGTTGCGATTGGTGATGTCGCCGGAGACGTGGGTGACGTTGATGTCGATTGTGGTGATGGTGTTGGCGAGAGTGATGAAGGTGTTGATGTTATTGATGTTTGATTGGCTGAGGAGAGTTCTTGTGTGGGCGATGATGTTTGAGAGGTGAGTGTGGTTGTTGGTAGTGTAGGTGTTGATCCGGTTAATTGTGGAGTGGAGGAGATGTTTGCGATTGCGATAGGGGGTGATTGTGTTTGAGGAGTCGGTGTTGTCGCATTAGGTGTTGACGACGTCTGTATTTGAGGAGTTGTCGGTGTCTGTGTTTGTGGAGAGATTGGCGAGGAAGCAGTTGTGTTAGCGGTGACTGGTGTTCCCGTGGCCGTGGCCGTGGCCGTTGGTGTGGCTGTGAGTGTGGCTGTGAGTGTGGGTGTGGGTGTGGCTGTCGGTGATGTTGTGGATATGAGTATTGGTGTTGGTGTAGCTGATGCGTTTTGTGTTGCGATTGGTGATGTCGCCGGAGACGTGGGTGACGTTGATGTCGATTGTGGTGATGGTGTTGGCGAGAGTGATGAAGGTGTTGATGTTATTGATGTTTGATTGGCTGAGGAGAGTTCTTGTGTGGGCGATGATGTTTGAGAGGTGAGTGTGGTTGTTGGTAGTGTAGGTGTTGATCCGGTTAATTGTGGAGTGGAGGAGATGTTTGCGATTGCGATAGGGGGTGATTGTGTTTGAGGAGTCGGTGTTGTCGCATTAGGTGTTGACGACGTCTGTATTTGAGGAGTTGTCGGTGTCTGTGTTTGTGGAGAGATTGGCGAGGAAGCAGTTGTGTTAGCGGTGACTGGTGTTCCCGTGGCCGTGGCCGTGGCCGTTGGTGTGGCTGTGAGTGTGGCTGTGGGTGTGGGTGTGGGTGTGGCTGTCGGTGATGTTGTGGATATGAGTATTGGTGTTGGTGTAGCTGATGCGTTTTGTGTTGCGATTGGTGATGTCGCCGGAGACGTGGGTGACGTTGATGTCGATTGTGGTGATGGTGTTGGCGAGAGTGATGAAAGTGTGGATGTTAGCGTGGTCGTAGTGTTGGAGTTTATTTCTGTAGTAAATGTGGTGGTGGTGATTGTTGATATTTCCTTTTTTGTGCTGGTGTCTGCAATATAAGGAATAATTATTTTTTTATTTGAATTTTTATCAATGTGTATTGGTATATGTTTTGGTTTTTCGGTTTCACTTAAGAATTGTTCATTTTTCTTTTGTAGGTTTGTGTGTTTTACGGTTTTCTGTGTTATGACTTTTCAGTGGTTTTCTTTTAGCCATTGTTTTTTTTGTAAACTTTTACACCTACTACGTTGTTCATTTAGAATGTTTTCACTTTGATTGTTTATTTCCTATACTGACGTTTTAACTTTGCAATTACTGCCTATATCGTGTTCGTTACATCTGTGATACACTTTTCTGAATGCTAAGTCATTAACGATTACATGGCTTGGTGGTATATGAAATGTGTGATTCCCAGCGTTCGTATGATGTTGTTCGACCTTTTTTGTTGTCTTTTATTATTTTTTATTCTCTAATATTTCAATATCTCTTTATGTTATCTATCAATTCACTAGTCAGTCTCTGTTGTTACTTGCAAAATTTTTGCTGATATCGACTTGTTATTCCATACTACTGTGAACGCTTACTCTGATTTATTTTTCTGTATATTTTCACTGGTTAAGTCGGGTCATGTTTATTTTAAAATTGAATATGCACTACAAGACTTGCTTTCAGTTGAAACGTGTTCACATGGTATATAGGGACATTTTTATAAGAACCAACAGGGATTGTAGTGTTCATTGATTTAGGTTACGTAGTTCATCTATGCACTGTCTGACTAAAATTCTCTTTCTATTGAAAAAGATAACTTTTAATAACATTTTTTTGCATTATGAAATTAGGATATTTTCATTTTTTGGTGTTCAGGTAAAGACTTTTAGCTAATTTGTCAACTTGGAAGGCATCTCTAGAATTGTATTCATACTAAACCCCATAATAAATATGATGGTTTTATTTCAAAGTTGGTCACAGATTGGATATTAATTCAAGAACTATTGGAAAAATCCATGATTACTAGACAGATGTTTTGTTCTTGTTTTGCGACGCTTCATCAGTACAGATGCATAATGTCAATGAATGTCGAACCTGTTACTTTTAAATCCACGAGTGTCAACCTCGTCGATTACTCACTGAGAGGGAGAAAACCTAACCGCCAGGCAGTAAATTAACCTAATAGATTTATTTTCGTGTGATAACATAACATATGAAATATCTAAATTATCTAGTGGTTGACTGTACCCTGGTAGGAAGAAACCAACAGTTCAACTGTCAGGAGAGATTGTACTAATCAAATGAGTACTCTTATACAGGTTCTAGATTAGATTAGATATCTACACTCACCAGTGTTCAATACTTCCCATACTCATTTTTACCGTGGGTGGGATATTTTGAATCTGTAAATTCTGAAGTACTGTATTTGCAAGGCGAATACAGTTCACTTATCAAAGTTGTCCGTCTACTCAAACTCCCAGAAGTGTATAAGTGTCAGCAACTGAATTCACGATAATCCATCGTATCTACTCAATGATATCAACTCTTATCATCAATAGAAGTTTGTATATTTATAACTTTAATGGAATCGACTTACCATCTGAATGGAATTTAGCTATTTTTAAACATACAAATGATGCAGTACTACTGTAGGGGGGAGAGTGTATCGAAAAGAAACACTTTCTCCAAAAACAAATACACCAATTAGTTATTTGAATACATTGTGGTGTATTCGAGTTGTCAGTTTGTGCTGGTTTCAGGTAAGATCTCTTCAAGAAGCCAAATCAGTTAGAGAACCATTGAAGTTCACTGTTGGTACTTTTCAGCATTATGCACGAAAATCTCCACCAGTAGTAGTGATATCAAAGAACTTCAATTTCCTAGACCAGTATCCGACTATTCAGCCACTGGGAAGGATCGAATGGGAGATGAATTTTAAGTGTATGTCATACCCCATTCCCTGTCATCTGTGAAATGCCAGCTGATGCTTTTTTTTTTATAAATTATTTGCAATTATATAAGATGTAGAAGGTGAAAAGTTGTAATACCTTGACTGATTCATATATGTGGGTTGCTTTATCGCATTCACTGAAATTATGGAGGTGACGCTTAAATTTCTATAGAGACAATTTTATTATACATTAACTAAGAGTTATTTAGATTTAAAATATTTTAAGGTTTTAAAACTTACGATGTCATACTTTGAATGATACTTCATATATTTTCGTCACTTTTAAGACTTACCTCTGAATGCATTTTAGAGATTTATAATGATTGCTTATGCAAATTTATATAGACCTTTCAGTTATGTTACAGACTATAAATTGACTGAACGATGAAGCCATTGCGAAATGGTCGCGTTATGTCATGAATTATCAGAAGTTAGAATTAATGTGCCCATTGGTTTTACGAGTTCGCCTTGTAACCAGAAGGTCCTGGGTTCGAACTCGGTGGTGTGGTTGCGTTACTGATGAAGAGTCCTAGACTAGAACGATACAGCTGTCCAGTACTTCCTGTGGTTTGTTTTCCAATGGTTCTCTAACTGATTTCAGCTCATGATGAAATCCTCCATTGGACGAAATTATTATAAGAGTATTATATCCTTTAGTTCCGAGTGGAACATAGGGCTTCGGCAACACACATCTCAACTTTGTTTTATTTTATGCTGTCCTTTTCTCTCATTTTCTCCTCACGCGATATGGTCCATGTCACTCTAGGCTGACCTACTTGTCACTTCCTATTTGGATCTCATTCGAATGATGACCTGCATTGCTCGCGGTGTTTATTTAATGGTCTTCTCAATGTATGCTCGATGCATCCATCCCCGTTTTCTCTTACATATTTTGTTGAGCAATCGACGCTTGATTGCTTTGTTGTCAGAATTTCTTATTATTGACTCTCTCTGGCCACTTGATCTTCAGTATGGAGCTAGCGAAGTGGGCAGATGTTGGTAAAAGTCTGCAGTGGCCTATTGGAAATCCTTTCCGTGAAACATTGGCCAACTTTCTGACTCTTATAGAAGGACATTGGTGTTGAAAATCCGAATCTTGTTCCTTATAGATACCAATGTCACATCAACCAGCAGTTTTTGTTAAATCCATCAAATTGTGTCTCACGATGACAAACGTACGTGTAGGTGATACATCGGTAGAATACTCACTGACCATGCCTCCATTTGGTCAGGGTTGGGATTCCTAGCCACCGACGCACTCTTTTACATCGCTTAGCCAGTAATAAGGCTGGTAAAGAAGTAAGGCTGAGCATAAGGCCAGAAACCCCATCCCGTAAAAATCAACATCACTGCTATCGAAACTTCAAGCGTCTAGCTTTTTCAGTTTACTGTCTCCCTTTTAGACATTTGATGAAAGGATGTTTCACCCTGAAGGTTTACTTATCTGATGAGCGTCTGAATGAAGTTTTCAGTCTGCAGGTAATTTACATTTTTGGTGATTATACTACTTTTTTTCTAGTAGAAAAGTATTTCACTCCATTGCGTTACTAGAAGTACATACAAGTTTAAGCTGAACGTTTTGAAATTTCAATAGCAGTGATGTTTATTTTTTCTATGGATGGAGGGGGGGGGGGAGTTGGCGGTAGAGTTGCTAGTCTCACACCTAACCTTCTCTCTAACTAGGTGGGCTTTAACAGCTATTTTCTGCAGGGAATTGAACTCAAACAAACTTCCTAGCCTTGAACCCATATGACACTATTGAGAAATTATAAATATTTCTCATTTACAACTAGTGTTTTAAAAGTTACATATTGGATACATATAAGAAGATGAAGAACTCGGAATATCTCTCAGGATTAGTTAATGTTATACACTAGAAGTGGATTACTCGGACGATTAGTTGAACATCTTATTAAAATAAACCGACACTGTAATCATAACCAGACCAAACTGTGCGCATATTCAATCTAGGATCAGTATAACCAGTCGGACAGCAATCATCTCACTTGATTATTATTATGACTATAAGTTCACTCTTGTCACTGACTGGTGCATTCTTGAAGAATGAGTTCAAGTTTTACGCTTCCTATTAAACGCTGTGGGCAGAAAAAAGATACGGTAAATTTTCTTCAGAAATTCAGTGTGAAGACGAATACAACATAGAGAATTAAAGTATCGTTGAGAGGATTCGAATAGATTCAGCTAAATATGTTACAACCGGGGTGGAAATACATGTGACATAAAGTGATTAGTTTCATCTAAGCCAATTGTATGCAATCACGTTTAAGTCGAGTGATTCATGAGCAATTCATTACCAAACAATAGCTTCGAACGAATTGCAAAAAATAATGCATCGAAAATCATACACAGAATGAAGTAAATTGCCCAAACCAATGACCGAGTAGCGCGTCAATAAAACAAACAATAGAAAAAACATAACACAAATAACAATAACAACATACCTGACGATGACACAATCGGTGAGAAAGAAGGAGTAGGAGAGGAACCAAGTAGAGTGACAGCAGGTGATGAAGATATTGATGTAAGTGTTATTTGTGTTGTGTCCGTCGGTGTACTACTGGATGTGAATGAAGTGGTTGGTGTGAGTGTGGTGACAGTGACGTTAGGTGATGTTGATATTGATGTTGGTGTTGGTGTTGATTGTGTCGATAGTGTTGATATGTTAGTTGGTGTTGTTGTTGTTTGTGTTGTGTCCGTCGGTGTACTACTGGATGTGAATGAAGTGGTTGGTGTGAGTGTGGTGACAGTGACGTTAGGTGATGTTGATATTGATGTTGGTGTTGGTGTTGATTGTGTCGATAGTGTTGATATGTTAGTTGGTGTTGTTGTTGTTTGTGTTGTGTCCGTCGGTGTACTACTGGATGTGAATGAAGTGGTTGGTGTGAGTGTGGTGACAGTGACGTTAGGTGATGTTGATATTGATGTTGGTGTTGGTGTTGATTGTGTCGATAGTGTTGATATGTTAGTTGGTGTTGTTGTTGTTTGTGTTGTGTCCGTCGGTGTACTACTGGATGTGAATGAAGTGGTTGGTGTGAGTGTGGTGACAGTGACGTTAGGTGATGTTGATATTGATGTTGGTGTTGGTGTTGATTGTGTCGATAGTGTTGATATGTTAGTTGGTGTTGTTGTTGTTTGTGTTGTGTCCGTCGGTGTACTACTGGATGTGAATGAAGTGGTTGGTGTGAGTGTGGTGACAGTGACGTTAGGTGATGTTGATATTGATGTTGGTGTTGGTGTTGATTGTGTCGATAGTGTTGATATGTTAGTTGGTGTTGTTGTTGTTTGTGTTGTGTCCGTCGGTGTACTACTGGATGTGAATGAAGTGGTTGGTGTGAGTGTGGTGACAGTGACGTTAGGTGATGTTGATATTGATGTTGGTGTTGGCGTTGATTGTGTCGATAGTGTTGATATGTTAGTTGGTGTTGTTGTTGTTTGTGTTGTGTCCGTCGGTGTACTACTGGATGTGAATGAAGTGGTTGGTGTGAGTGTGGTGACAGTGACGTTAGGTGATGTTGATATTGATGTTGGTGTTGGTGTCGATTGTGTCGATAGTGTTGATATGTTAGTTGGTGTTGTTGTTGTTTGTGTTGTGTCCGTCGGTGTACTACTGGATGTGAATGAAGTGGTTGGTGTGAGTGTGGTGACAGTGACGTTAGGTGATGTTGATATTGATGTTGGTGTTGGCGTTGATTGTGTCGATAGTGTTGATATGTTAGTTGGTGTTGTTGTTGTTTGTGTTGTGTCCGTCGGTGTACTACTGGATGTGAATGAAGTGGTTGGTGTGAGTGTGGTGACAGTGACGTTAGGTGATGTTGATATTGATGTTGGTGTTGGTGTTGATTGTGTCGATAGTGTTGATATGTTAGTTGGTGTTGTTGTTGTTTGTGTTGTGTCCGTCGGTGTACTACTGGATGTGAATGAAGTGGTTGGTGTGAGTGTGGTGACAGTGACGTTAGGTGATGTTGATATTGATGTTGGTGTTGGTGTTGATTGTGTCGATAGTGTTGATATGTTAGTTGGTGTTGTTGTTGTTTGTGTTGTGTCCGTCGGTGTACTACTGGATGTGAATGAAGTGGTTGGTGTGAGTGTGTTGACAGTGACGTTAGGTGATGTTGATATTGATGTTGGTGTTGGTGTTGATTGTGTCGATAGTGTTGATATGTTAGTTGGTGTTGTTGTTGTTTGTGTTGTGTCCGTCGGTGTACTACTGGATGTGAATGAAGTGGTTGGTGTGAGTGTGGTGACAGTGACGTTAGGTGATGTTGATATTGATGTTGGTGTTGGTGTTGATTGTGTCGATAGTGTTGATATGTTAGTTGGTGTTGTTGTTGTTTGTGTTGTGTCCGTCGGTGTACTACTGGATGTGAATGAAGTGGTTGGTGTGAGTGTGTTGACAGTGACGTTAGGTGATGTTGATATTGATGTTGGTGTTGGTGTTGATTGTGTCGATATTGTTGATATGTTAGTTGGTGTTGTTGTTGTTTGTGTTGTGTCCGTCGGTGTACTACTGGATGTGAATGAAGTGGTTGGTGTGAGTGTGGTGACAGTGACGTTAGGTGATGTTGATATTGATGTTGGTGTTGGTGTTGATTGTGTCGATAGTGTTGATATGTTAGTTGGTGTTGTTGTTGTTTGTGTTGTGTCCGTCGGTGTACTACTGGATGTGAATGAAGTGGTTGGTGTGAGTGTGGTGACAGTGACGTTAGGTGATGTTGATATTGATGTTGGTGTTGGTGTTGATTGTGTCGATAGTGTTGATATGTTAGTTGGTGTTGTTGTTGTTTGTGTTGTGTCCGTCGGTGTACTACTGGATGTGAATGAAGTGGTTGGTGTGAGTGTGGTGACAGTGACGTTAGGTGATGTTGATATTGATGTTGGTGTTGGTGTTGATTGTGTCGATAGTGTTGATATGTTAGTTGGTGTTGTTGTTGTTTGTGTTGTGTCCGTCGGTGTACTACTGGATGTGAATGAAGTGGTTGGTGTGAGTGTGGTGACAGTGACGTTAGGTGATGTTGATATTGATGTTGGTGTTGGTGTTGATTGTGTCGATAGTGTTGATATGTTAGTTGGTGTTGTTGTTGTTTGTGTTGTGTCCGTCGGTGTACTACTGGATGTGAATGAAGTGGTTGGTGTGAGTGTGGTGACAGTGACGTTAGGTGATGTTGATATTGATGTTGGTGTTGGTGTTGATTGTGTCGATAGTGTTGATATGTTAGTTGGTGTTGTTGTTGTTTGTGTTGTGTCCGTCGGTGTACTACTGGATGTGAATGAAGTGGTTGGTGTGAGTGTGGCGACAGTGACGTTAGGTGATGTTGATATTGATGTTGGTGTTGGTGTTGATTGTGTCGATAGTGTTGATATGTTAGTTGGTGTTGTTGTTGTTTGTGTTGTGTCCGTCGGTGTACTACTGGATGTGAATGAAGTGGTTGGTGTGAGTGTGGTGACAGTGACGTTAGGTGATGTTGATATTGATGTTGGTGTTGGTGTTGATTGTGTCGATAGTGTTGATATGTTAGTTGGTGTTGTTGTTGTTTGTGTTGTGTCCGTCGGTGTACTACTGGATGTGAATGAAGTGGTTGGTGTGAGTGTGGTGACAGTGACGTTAGGTGATGTTGATATTGATGTTGGTGTTGGTGTTGATTGTGTCGATAGTGTTGATATGTTAGTTGGTGTTGTTGTTGTTTGTGTTGTGTCCGTCGGTGTACTACTGGATGTGAATGAAGTGGTTGGTGTGAGTGTGGTGACAGTGACGTTAGGTGATGTTGATATTGATGTTGGTGTTGGTGTTGATTGTGTCGATAGTGTTGATATGTTAGTTGGTGTTGTTGTTGTTTGTGTTGTGTCCGTCGGTGTACTACTGGATGTGAATGAAGTGGTTGGTGTGAGTGTGGTGACAGTGACGTTAGGTGATGTTGATATTGATGTTGGTGTTGGTGTTGATTGTGTCGATAGTGTTGATATGTTAGTTGGTGTTGTTGTTGTTTGTGTTGTGTCCGTCGGTGTACTACTGGATGTGAATGAAGTGGTTGGTGTGAGTGTGGTGACAGTGACGTTAGGTGATGTTGATATTGATGTTGGTGTTGGCGTTGATTGTGTCGATAGTGTTGATATGTTAGTTGGTGTTGTTGTTGTTTGTGTTGTGTCCGTCGGTGTACTACTGGATGTGAATGAAGTGGTTGGTGTGAGTGTGGTGACAGTGACGTTAGGTGATGTTGATATTGATGTTGGTGTTGGTGTTGATTGTGTCGATAGTGTTGATATGTTAGTTGGTGTTGTTGTTGTTTGTGTTGTGTCCGTCGGTGTACTACTGGATGTGAATGAAGTGGTTGGTGTGAGTGTGGTGACAGTGACGTTAGGTGATGTTGATATTGATGTTGGTGTTGGTGTTGATTGTGTCGATAGTGTTGATATGTTAGTTGGTGTTGTTATTGTTTGTGTTGTGTCCGTCGGTGTACTACTGGATGTGAATGAAGTGGTTGGTGTGAGTGTGGTGACAGTGACGTTAGGTGATGTTGATATTGATGTTGGTGTTGGTGTTGATTGTGTCGATAGTGTTGATATGTTAGTTGGTGTTGTTGTTGTTTGTGTTGTGTCCGTCGGTGTACTACTGGATGTGAATGAAGTGGTTGGTGTGAGTGTGGTGACAGTGACGTTAGGTGATGTTGATATTGATGTTGGTGTTGGTGTTGATTGTGTCGATAGTGTTGATATGTTAGTTGGTGTTGTTGTTGTTTGTGTTGTGTCCGTCGGTGAACTACTGGATGTGAATGAAGTGGTTGGTGTGAGTGTGGTGACAGTGACGTTAGGTGATGTTGATATTGATGTTGGTGTTGGTGTTGATTGTGTCGATAGTGTTGATATGTTAGTTGGTGTTGTTGTTGTTTGTGTTGTGTCCGTCGGTGTACTACTGGATGTGAATGAAGTGGTTGGTGTGAGTGTGGTGACAGTGACGTTAGGTGATGTTGATATTGATGTTGGTGTTGGTGTTGATTGTGTCGATAGTGTTGATATGTTAGTTGGTGTTGTTGTTGTTTGTGTTGTGTCCGTCGGTGTACTACTGGATGTGAATGAAGTGGTTGGTGTGAGTGTGTTGACAGTGACGTTAGGTGATGTTGATATTGATGTTGGTGTTGGTGTTGATTGTGTCGATAGTGTTGATATGTTAGTTGGTGTTGTTGTTGTTTGTGTTGTGTCCGTCGGTGAACTACTGGATGTGAATGAAGTGGTTGGTGTGAGTGTGTTGACAGTGACGTTAGGTGATGTTGATATTGATGTTGGTGTTGGTGTTGATTGTGTCGATAGTGTTGATATGTTAGTTGGTGTTGTTGTTGTTTGTGTTGTGTCCGTCGGTGAACTACTGGATGTGAATGAAGTGGTTGGTGTGAGTGTGGTGACAGTGACGTTAGGTGATGTTGATATTGATGTTGGTGTTGGTGTTGATTGTGTCGATAGTGTTGATATGTTAGTTGGTGTTGTTGTTGTTTGTGTTGTGTCCGTCGGTGTACTACTGGATGTGAATGAAGTGGTTGGTGTGAGTGTGGTGACAGTGACGTTAGGTGATGTTGATATTGATGTTGGTGTTGGTGTTGATTGTGTCGATAGTGTTGATATGTTAGTTGGTGTTGTTGTTGTTTGTGTTGTGTCCGTCGGTGTACTACTGGATGTGAATGAAGTGGTTGGTGTGAGTGTGGTGACAGTGACGTTAGGTGATGTTGATATTGATGTTGGTGTTGGTGTTGATTGTGTCGATAGTGTTGATATGTTAGTTGGTGTTGTTGTTGTTTGTGTTGTGTCCGTCGGTGTACTACTGGATGTGAATGAAGTGGTTGGTGTGAGTGTGTTGACAGTGACGTTAGGTGATGTTGATACTGATGTTGGTGTTGGTGTTGATTGTGTCGATAGTGTTGATATGTTAGTTGGTGTTGTTGTTGTTTGTGTTGTGTCCGTCGGTGAACTACTGGATGTGAATGAAGTGGTTGGTGTGAGTGTGTTGACAGTGACGTTAGGTGATGTTGATATTGATGTTGGTGTTGGTGTTGATTGTGTCGATAGTGTTGATATGTTAGTTGGTGTTGTTGTTGTTTGTGTTGTGTCCGTCGGTGAACTACTGGATGTGAATGAAGTGGTTGGTGTGAGTGTGGTGACAGTGACGTTAGGTGATGTTGATATCGATGTTGGTGTTGGTGTTGATTGTGTCGATAGTGTTGATATGTTAGTTGGTGTTGTTGTTGTTTGTGTTGTGTCCGTCGGTGTACTACCGGATGTGAATGAAGTGGTTGGTGTGAGTGTGGTGACAGTGACGTTAGGTGATGTTGATATTGATGTTGGTGTTGGTGTTGATTGTGTCGATAGTGTTGATATGTTAGTTGGTGTTGTTGTTGTTTGTGTTGTGTCCGTCGGTGTACTACTGGATGTGAATGAAGTGGTTGGTGTGAGTGTGGTGACAGTGACGTTAGGTGATGTTGATATTGATGTTGGTGTTGGTGTTGATTGTGTCGATAGTGTTGATATGTTAGTTGGTGTTGTTGTTGTTTGTGTTGTGTCCGTCGGTGTACTACTGGATGTGAATGAAGTGGTTGGTGTGAGTGTGGTGACAGTGACGTTAGGTGATGTTGATATTGATGTTGGTGTTGGTGTTGATTGTGTCGATAGTGTTGATATGTTAGTTGGTGTTGTTGTTGTTTGTGTTGTGTCCGTCGGTGAACTACTGGATGTGAATGAAGTGGTTGGTGTGAGTGTGGTGACAGTGACGTTAGGTGATGTTGATATTGATGTTGGTGTTGGTGTTGATTGTGTCGATAGTGTTGATATGTTAGTTGGTGTTGTTGTTGTTTGTGTTGTGTCCGTCGGTGAACTACTGGATGTGAATGAAGTGGTTGGTGTGAGTGTGGTGACAGTGACGTTAGGTGATGTTGATATTGATGTTGGTGTTGGTGTTGATTGTGTCGATAGTGTTGATATGTTAGTTGGTGTTGTTGTTGTTTGTGTTGTGTCCGTCGGTGTACTACTGGATGTGAATGAAGTGGTTGGTGTGAGTGTGGTGACAGTGACGTTAGGTGATGTTGATATTGATGTTGGTGTTGGTGTTGATTGTGTCGATAGTGTTGATATGTTAGTTGGTGTTGTTGTTGTTTGTGTTGTGTCCGTCGGTGTACTACTGGATGTGAATGAAGTGGTTGGTGTGAGTGTGGCGACAGTGACGTTAGGTGATGTTGATATTGATGTTGGTGTTGGTGTTGATTGTGTCGATAGTGTTGATATGTTAGTTGGTGTTGTTGTTGTTTGTGTTGTGTCCGTCGGCGTACTACTGGATGTGAATGAAGTGGTTGGTGTGAGTGTGGTGACAGTGACGTTAGGTGATGTTGATATTGATGTTGGTGTTGGTGTTGATTGTGTCGATAGTGTTGATATGTTAGTTGGTGTTGTTGTTGTTTGTGTTGTGTCCGTCGGTGTACTACTGGATGTGAATGAAGTGGTTGGTGTGAGTGTGGTGACAGTGACGTTAGGTGATGTTGATATTGATGTTGGTGTTGGTGTTGATTGTGTCGATAGTGTTGATATGTTAGTTGGTGTTGTTGTTGTTTGTGTTGTGTCCGTCGGTGTACTACTGGATGTGAATGAAGTGGTTGGTGTGAGTGTGTTGACAGTGACGTTAGGTGATGTTGATATTGATGTTGGTGTTGGTGTTGATTGTGTCGATAGTGTTGATATGTTAGTTGGTGTTGTTGTTGTTTGTGTTGTGTCCGTCGGTGAACTACTGGATGTGAATGAAGTGGTTGGTGTGAGTGTGTTGACAGTGACGTTAGGTGATGTTGATATTGATGTTGGTGTTGGTGTTGATTGTGTCGATAGTGTTGATATGTTAGTTGGTGTTGTTGTTGTTTGTGTTGTGTCCGTCGGTGAACTACTGGATGTGAATGAAGTGGTTGGTGTGAGTGTGGTGACAGTGACGTTAGGTGATGTTGATATTGATGTTGGTGTTGGTGTTGATTGTGTCGATAGTGTTGATATGTTAGTTGGTGTTGTTGTTGTTTGTGTTGTGTCCGTCGGTGTACTACTGGATGTGAATGAAGTGGTTGGTGTGAGTGTGGTGACAGTGACGTTAGGTGATGTTGATATTGATGTTGGTGTTGGTGTTGATTGTGTCGATAGTGTTGATATGTTAGTTGGTGTTGTTGTTGTTTGTGTTGTGTCCGTCGGTGTACTACTGGATGTGAATGAAGTGGTTGGTGTGAGTGTGGTGACAGTGACGTTAGGTGATGTTGATATTGATGTTGGTGTTGGTGTTGATTGTGTCGATAGTGTTGATATGTTAGTTGGTGTTGTTGTTGTTTGTGTTGTGTCCGTCGGTGTACTACTGGATGTGAATGAAGTGGTTGGTGTGAGTGTGGTGACAGTGACGTTAGGTGATGTTGATATTGATGTTGGTGTTGGTGTTGATTGTGTCGATAGTGTTGATATGTTAGTTGGTGTTGTTGTTGTTTGTGTTGTGTCCGTCGGTGAACTACTGGATGTGAATGAAGTGGTTGGTGTGAGTGTGGTGACAGTGACGTTAGGTGATGTTGATATTGATGTTGGTGTTGGTGTTGATTGTGTCGATAGTGTTGATATGTTAGTTGGTGTTGTTGTTGTTTGTGTTGTGTCCGTCGGTGAACTACTGGATGTGAATGAAGTGGTTGGTGTGAGTGTGGTGACAGTGACGTTAGGTGATGTTGATATCGATGTTGGTGTTGGTGTTGATTGTGTCGATAGTGTTGATATGTTAGTTGGTGTTGTTGTTGTTTGTGTTGTGTCCGTCGGTGTACTACTGGATGTGAATGAAGTGGTTGGTGTGAGTGTGGTGACAGTGACGTTAGGTGATGTTGATATTGATGTTGATGTTGGTGTTGATTGTGTCGATAGTGTTGATATGTTAGTTGGTGTTGTTGTTGTTTGTGTTGTGTCCGTCGGTGTACTACTGGATGTGAATGAAGTGGTTGGTGTGAGTGTGGTGACAGTGACGTTAGGTGATGTTGATATTGATGTTGGTGTTGGTGTTGATTGTGTCGATAGTGTTGATATGTTAGTTGGTGTTGTTGTTGTTTGTGTTGTGTCCGTCGGTGAACTACTGGATGTGAATGAAGTGGTTGGTGTGAGTGTGGTGACAGTGACGTTAGGTGATGTTGATATTGATGTTGGTGTTGGTGTTGATTGTGTCGATAGTGTTGATATGTTAGTTGGTGTTGTTGTTGTTTGTGTTGTGTCCGTCGGTGTACTACTGGATGTGAATGAAGTGGTTGGTGTGAGTGTGGTGACAGTGACGTTAGGTGATGTTGGTATTGATGTTGGTGTTGGTGTTGATTGTGTCGATAGTGTTGATATGTTAGTTGGTGTTGTTGTTGTTTGTGTTGTGTCCGTCGGTGTACTACTGGATGTGAATGAAGTGGTTGGTGTGAGTGTGGTGACAGTGACGTTAGGTGATGTTGATATTGATGTTGGTGTTGGTGTTGATTGTGTCGATAGTGTTGATATGTTAGTTGGTGTTGTTGTTGTTTGTGTTGTGTCCGTCGGTGTACTACTGGATGTGAATGAAGTGGTTGGTGTGAGTGTGGTGACAGTGACGTTAGGTGATGTTGATATTGATGTTGGTGTTGGTGTTGATTGTGTCGATAGTGTTGATATGTTAGTTGGTGTTGTTGTTGTTTGTGTTGTGTCCGTCGGTGTACTACTGGATGTGAATGAAGTGGTTGGTGTGAGTGTGGTGACAGTGACGTTAGGTGATGTTGATATTGATGTTGGTGTTGGTGTTGATTGTGTCGATAGTGTTGATATGTTAGTTGGTGTTGTTGTTGTTTGTGTTGTGTCCGTCGGTGTACTACTGGATGTGAATGAAGTGGTTGGTGTGAGTGTGGTGACAGTGACGTTAGGTGATGTTGATATTGATGTTGGTGTTGGTGTTGATTGTGTCGATAGTGTTGATATGTTAGTTGGTGTTGTTGTTGTTTGTGTTGTGTCCGTCGGTGAACTACTGGATGTGAATGAAGTGGTTGGTGTGAGTGTGGTGACAGTGACGTTAGGTGATGTTGATATTGATGTTGGTGTTGGTGTTGATTGTGTCGATAGTGTTGATATGTTAGTTGGTGTTGTTGTTGTTTGTGTTGTGTCAGTCTGTGTATTTGTATTGATTGATGCATTTGTTATTGTGGTTTTGGTTGCTGTGTTTGTGGTGTCTGTTGATGCAATGGTTGTTGTTGTCGTTGTTGTTTGGGTTGTTACTGTAATGGAAAACATGTGGAATTTTATTTGGCTGCTTTACTTTTTTTTGTGTATTTTTTTTATTCTTTTAATTTTTTTTTACCTATGAAATTGTTTTTTTTCGTCCCCTATTTTGATGGCTATAGTTAATTTAGTGATTATTTTCCTGCGTGATTTGTGCTTTATATGCTTGTTTTCTATTTATCTTTCTTTTATTTTATGTAATTGTGTCTCCTGATTCTAATTTGCGTGTGGCTCTTTGGGTAAATATTCTATTGTTTTTGTTGTACATCAATGCAGTATTTTTTTTTGATAGTAGACCACTTTTTCGTATGACTTCCTTGTTATAAGTGTTCTATTCACGTTACTCTATAACCAGTAAATCTTTTTTTACTAGAATCTTATATGTCATGTGTAGATAGATTTTCCGTTAATTCGCACACGGCTGCTAAGTGTTGATTCGATGAACGAACACTTAATATCTAACGTTTTTCTCTACCTTATCATATTGCTTATGTAATAATTTTTATTATAATTAGGTTTAGAAAGGAGTTGTCCACTGACTGTCTATGTTCATTACTAATCATAACTAAATCTATGTAATTATAGTGTAACGCAGCCGCTATACTGCATATTTAAGTGTTCTGCAATGAAATTCAACGGCATTAAAATTGTGAATTTCTAGTGTTGGTTTGCAGAAAACTAAGCACTGCTGTACAATTGTTTCGTCCCATTTTGGGGACTCTATATCAGAACTCACTCATTTGAGTTTAAACTCAGCATGTTTAGTTTACGAGGTGACGTGCACTGATGAAAAGTCCTACACGAGGACAAAACATCTTCCCTGTTGTACTCTTTGGTTCCTCAGTACTCCTATAACCGATGCCACCTGGTTATCAAATCAGAAAGAAATAAGACTACATATATGTTTATATATATTTTCCAGTTTTGTAAATTGTTTGAATAAATGCCAATATGATTGTGATTGACAATAAATTATGCTTAGATGGACATCAGGGTATAAATAATCCTTCTTCACTAAATTTATTCATATATGTGATTACTTTCCAATCTCAGAGAATTCTTTCAAGTGTGTTTCTTTTGGTCATACACTGTGTCTACTTATGAGTAGTATGGTGTAATTATTATTTTATTCCTCTACCTATTGAATGAAACATATGGCTTCAAGTTGGAAGCTTTAAAATTTCTATAGAGCTTCTGTTGCTTCTTTTTTCAAGCGTTCACTTTGCTAGTCTCACCTCAAACCTTTTCTATAAGCTAAGGTTACTACCACCATCTTCATACGGTTATTATTAAGGAGTTAATCAACTGGGAATCGAACTCCACATCACATGAATAGTTGACGGTTGTTAGCAGGGTAAGCAATGTCCCACTTAACCAGCTTGTTAATATTCTGGTCGACAGTGGCACTTGAAATAAATCCATTCTATTTAAGTCACACCACCCTCTTCAATCACAACTTTCCCCTTGTATCTCATCAGGCAGGCAGATCAGAAGCCTATATAGAAAACTATATGCTCGCACTAGCTAGTACAAAATCTCAACCATATTCTACTTAGCTCGTGTTCTGTGCGATAAAGAAAGCATTAAGCTTGAAACTTTATAACTTATTAAATTGTCAGTAGAACAACTGGATCTTGTCTTTCCAACTCATATCATTTATAGGTATAACGTTTTCTTTCTTTTCTTTTTTTGTTGTTATCTGCTGTTTTGTTTTTCTCTCCCTGAGAAACTCTATTTAAAACATTCTTCTTCGTTCTTTCACACTCTGTATATCTCGATGATTTTGTTACCGCTTACGCCAGTATCTACTTTTCTAACACCTTCAAACATTCTGTTTACTTTTGGCTTTGCTATAACGATATGCTAATATGTTGTTGTCAAAACTAACTGAGACTACCTACCCATAATCTATGTAGAATTTTATTTCTGGTTAATATACAAAACTGAATGCAATACTGTAGTGAAATGCTGAGAATTCCAGTCTGTATCATAAGTATTCTTTTGGAATAAAGCAAATTATTATTATTATTGCATAAGAAATGCTTCTTTTGTTTCCTATCGTCTCTCTTTCAAACTATTGTATTCTTTTAGGGAAGAGGGTGGGTGGGTTGGGTTGCTTGGGTTTCATCATCATTCCTCGATTAATGACTCAGAAATGGATACACAAATACTCCATTTGAGCAATATACTCCATAATAAATCTAAATAAGTGAAAGTGTACACATATATAAGCATATATCAGACTGGTGAGGCTTTCGTCTTTTACGGCATCTGAGATTCATTGGTAGGAATATATTGGCCAGTCGTGCATACGCTCCGGGGTTCAATTGCCGAGCTGGTGCACTCCTAAAAACTTATTCAACCGGTATAGTAGGATTAGTAAAAAGGGGAGATTTGCCGTGAGGCTGTCAGTACTACCCTATAAAAGTAAAACAAACACCAATCTACTAGTGAAACACTTCAGAGTTCAAGCTTGAAGCCAGCCGTGTATATTACACTCGGAAAACACTGGAATATAATAATCAAATTTTTTTTAAAAACCCATTATTATCTAAGATATTATAAATTACTATTATTATTATTAATTATGTAAGGAATAAATGTAAGATACTTACGTCCAATTTGTACATCAAATAATTGTATAGTTGATGTCGTATTAGTAGTATTGTAGGTTGTAACAAAATTATTTGTAAAATCATCTGTACTCAAAACATCAGCTTGTGTTGTATTCAACTGGATTGTAGCATTACCACCGACAACATTTTCAGTTGCATTGCCTGTAGCAGCTTGACGTTTCTCCCAGATAACTGTTACTTGTCTAGGTGAAAATGTGACATCTATGCATGCCTTGGCTTTATTAGCTGTAAGAGGAGCTATTTGTATAATTGAGATAAGCTATAATGTAATGTAAAATGCATATCTCGTGGATCAATAATTTACTGGAAACAAATTTTTAACAAGTTTAGAATGAAACTTAAAACTTTGACCCTAATGGTTCACGAGCTAGCTACCTCATCTTGTAACCAGAAGGTCCTGGATTCGCACCCTATCTGTGGTATAGGTGTATACTGCTTAAGAGTTTCAAACTAGACTGACGAAACAACGGGCTGTCCAATACTTCAGCGCTGGGTTTTCCAATGGTTCTCTAAACAATGTCAGTTCGTGATGAAATCCTGTAATCAATCAGTAAAATCCCGGAAAACTCAATACTGGAATGTCAATGAGATGTTCATTAGCGACTGGTCCTAATCAGGTGGGTGGTGATTTGGGGTCTAGTGGGAATTTGTGACCAATATGGTGCAGCAGGTTTGGCGGGCGTGAGGATAAAACACTCACCATCGATGGCAGTGACTAGCGGTCACGCTGTTTCATGAATTGGCAGATATTGGAATTCATGAACTGGCCACTGGACTAGGTCCCAGTGGTTTAAAGGTCTAGTGGCTAGCTCGCATTTTAAGCAGGAGATGGTCCTGGGTGCAAACCCCTACGGTGGGTGCGTAATACCGAAGAGTCACAAACTAGACTAACAAAACAGCTGGCTTCCCGGTACTCCCAAGTGGTATTCCAGTGGTTCTCTAACTGATGTCAGCTCATGATGAAGTCCTGTAACTTTGATTTAGAGTACACCATGATGACGAGCCACCTAACATGATTATCACATTGCAAACTTGACTGATATAATTCAGTCTGCATCAACCTAAGGACTAGATGCATGATTTCAGTTACTGACTATCTGGTGTCCAATTAAAGTATCCGATACAGTCCTACAGGAGGTGATGCTCCGTGATGAGTCTGAATAGCCCAGTGGTGATGTCTCTAACTTTACCACTGGGTAACAAACTTTCGAATATCAGAGAGGAAATGAGTTCGATCAAGATTGAAGATACTTCTTGTTGACTGATAACTACCAAGAAGCTCGAAACCTAAATCCAAAGCTTCCTGCTGATTTGTCTCCCAATATCTAGTCGAAACTTGGCAAAGTTAAACTTTCGACACCACTAACAACCAATCAGCAAACGACTTTGAACGGACCAATCATATTAAATAGGCATATATGATGAATGGAAACGTATATTTATAGAAGAAAGCATAAAAAAGGATAAAAAGGTTACAAGGGGTATCTTTCTCGAACATGTGAGAGAAACATCTCCCAGTTTAGCATAAGACTGTCAATGGAGAAGTCACACCACATCCTGTACTTATATTCATCTGAATGCCGGTAAATGAGATCCTTTTGAGATCCATTTATAGCCCTTATCCTGTTTTTCAAGCAGCCCCAAAAACCTTCAATGGAATTCGCATGAGTCCTCGTAACGGGATCCACCCAGCAAACAAATGATTTTCCCTATTTTACACGAAGCAATATCTCTGCAATGCTGGTACCACTAAACTGTTGAGACGAGACTATTCTCAGTCTCGGCAGCTGCTGCTCTCACCGGCTATTTCAACACCCAGTAGTTGCAGATGTAGAAACTCTGGGTTAGGGAGATATGCGACCTAGGGAAAAAAGTTCCTACGAAATATTAAAATTATCAGCTTATCCGCTCTAATGTTTGCACGCTTCAAACACATAGCACAACGATGAACAAACCCATCAGTTGATCTGCTATAGCTTTTTAAAGTCATGATGCCAACACACGAATAAGTTCGCTCCTTCCGGAGCAACCCTAAATCCAGGAAATACTGGAAAACACTGTACTCCTCGAATTGCAACCGTAATCTTGTAAGGTCACGTATTAGAAAAGAATCAAGCGCTCTACAGCATTGAACTGCGTTCGTGAATCTCATTGGATAATTCGACATCGTTCGTGAATCCCATTGGATAATTCGCTGATTGGTAGTTAGTGGTGTCGAAAGTTTAACTTCGCCCGAAACTTAGTAATGATATAAACAGTTATCTGATAAGAATCAGGACATCTTCAAATGATGTTTATCCGTCTTGCCTGTGTCAGCAGTTCACTGGTAGAATGCTCGCTAAACATACATGTGGTCGGCTTTTTGATTCTTGGCTGACTTACCCTACCAACCACGAAATCCACTAGGTTTACGAGGTTGATTTTCACCAGGTTAATAATCCTGTACTGTGAATAAACACAACCATCTTATCGATTCCGAAGAAGAAGAATCTGTCCTTCAAATTTCAACCGTAACTTCCGTGTGAAAAAATGTCTTTTCACATTCTTTAGACACATTCATCAACCTGAAACAAATCTGGAAATCTTCGTCACTCAGCATCAACAACAAAATTCGGATCTTCAATACAAACAAAGTCAAGTCACTTCTTCTATACAAATCAGAAACTTGGCGGGCGGGTCACAAAGAATATTTCCAACAGGCTAACTCAGATCTTTATCAACAACAAACTGTCTTCGCTCTATACTGAAGATAAGATGGCCGGGCTGGAAAGAATCACCAACAAGAACAAACTACAGGAGCAAACAAAGCAAGAACCGATCGCCCAACAGATGTGCAGGAGAAAGTGGAGATGGATTGGATACTCGCTGAGGAGGCCGCCGCTGGGTGACATCGCGCGAGCGTCAGGCCATTGCTGGAGTGGAGCCCGAAGGAATGGGAAGCGGCGAGTGGGACGTCAGTACGAGGGTAACATGGAGGAGATCGTGTGAAGAAGAGTTGAAACAGTTCTGACTAACTAACATGGATGCAGGTAAAAAGTACAGCAGGAGCAAGACAGAAGTGGCAAGTGGAGATGTGCAGTTGAAGCCTTATGTTCCACTAGGAACTCAAGGGAACAATAATAATAATAAAGTGGACATAGGGTAAAGAAGAATAATCCTTTCATAAATTCTCTTGATATGATATGACACAAGAGCTGAAATTCTTTGAAGCAGATTATCAGAGGAGATTTGAAAAACATTCTTCATTGAATATCTACATCTTACCCACTCCATGAAATATTTTATTCATCAAAATATCAAAGACAATGTGAATGTTCTTTTGTTGGTAACATTTATGTCCAAAAATATCGATTCACTTGATCTTGTGCAACCAGCTACATATGTCGTGCTAGGTGTCTGACATTTTGATGAATAAGAAGTTCATGAGTAATATTCATCCAAACATTAATGAAAACAAAACACGCGTAGTTCAGTGAAGAGTCGCTGTTTTGGCGTTGAATTCATTCACTTAGCTGTACAACTGTAATTATATATAATTATTTTCGTGTGTGTGTGTGTGTACGGTTATTTAGTTTTTTAAAAGATCAGAGAAGTGGCTATAAAGGTTAGATGTTAACACCAGTTAATGAGTAACAAGATTTTTGAAATTATTTGTTGGGAAAAGTAAAAAGTTACGTAATACAATTTCATTAAATGACTAGTATCGCGCAGAAATGCGATTTCAAAGAGTTAACTTCCTTCACTTCTCCTGCTAGAAAGCATAGTTTCCACCACAGACAGTCAGAATCGATGAAGATATCAAGGCAAGATAGAATCGAAAGGGAAAGATACATCTTCATCAATCTAAAATCAGTCTGGAAATCTTCCAAAATCAGCCAGCATAAAGAAAGAGATTAGGCTTGTCAACACATATGTGAAGTCATTGAGTTCGTCTATACTTTAAAAAAAAAATTATTTTTGATTACAGCTTGATTTCACACTGTATTTTTTTTATACATGTATGGAATTTTCAGCATGGATATCGGTAGCTCAAATTTTACAGGCTGACCATAGATATCAGGTGTGCGTCGGTAGGGGATCGAACTTCGAAGCATGTACATGGTCGGTGAGAGTCCTAACCACTGTGCCACCGACGCCTGATGAACTTTGACATCGTGTCATGAAAAGGATTTTCAACAGCTGGCTTCTCTATCTCTATATTGAAGATGAAATGGGCAGCCAGCGAGAAAGAATTATCGAAAAGAAACCAACAGGCGAGAGCCTATTGCTCAACAAATATGTAAGAGAAAATAGAGATGGATCGATCAGACATACGATGAGCAGGCCGTCAAATGACATGGGATTCAGTGCAGGCCATCAGTCCAGTGCAATCCCAAAAAGGAAGCGATGAGTGAGTCGTTGGTACGGGGGTGAGATGGAGGGGATCGTGTTTGAGTAAGGGGAGGAGGAGGAGGTGAGAGATTATGGGCAGTCGTGAAACTGCCCAACTGAAGAGGACATCAGATAATAATAGAAGGAAATGGAGAGGTGTTTGTGAAGCCATACCCATGTTCCACTCAGAACTCAAAGGGATAATAATATAAATAATGATAATCGCTCAGAAATGAGCATTACCCATCATTTAATGTTTTCAGATTACGTATTCCATCATTTTTCCCGATAGGTAATTTCGCATGTATATTTATATGCTAGAAACAATATTTCAAAATATTCTTTCTGTGAGATTTTAGCTACATCGAAATTATCTACTTTACACTTTTTCAGTAGTATATTTATACGAAACTAAAATCTCGGGTCAAAGCAATAAGAAGGCGTAATCTGTCTGAATCGTGTATTGTGTATTTGAGCAGCATATTTCGAACAATCTGATCCATCACACACACACACTTGTCATAGGAATATATACGAAATTAATAATGAGTTAAGCGATGAGAAACAGAAATAGACTTAGGTCAAGTTAAAAGGACATATTGAAGGTGAAAATAACAATGAAGATCACCAAAGCAAATGAGAAAGGTGATGGTACATCTGCCCTGGCTGGTATCAAAACGTTTACTAAGGGAGGTAGGTTTAGTTACTGTGATGAAGAATAGTTGCTTTGAACGAATAAACATGGTTTAAACTCCCTATTGCTAGCTAGTGTGTCCAGAAACTTTAGAATACGCCTTCCCCAAAACACGTTTCATAGATAGGTTCAAAAGACACGTGGAAACACCAATTTTATGTCATGTCTCTGTAATATGTTTCTCAATAGAGGAGCTAGTTCTCTTGTTCTAACCATTAATTAACTGGTTCTGAGAATTCTATTTGCTTCTGAAGCCATTTAGGAATATGTTTTGAAGCCTTTAATTCCATAGATCAATGAGCTCTCCCTATGAATGTTTGTCCACGCGTACATTCAAATTGGTAAATACAGTGAGAGGATGTGACATCCTTTTCCGTATGTTCGAAGGCCTTATATGGATGGATATATTGGCTTCACATTCTTAATTATTATGGTCTGCATAAAAAGTATTTCCAACCGTTGTCGAGTTATCAAGCTGCTATGATCATTCATATGAGGGAGATTGATTTACACATCTTTTTTCTTAGTGGCGAGTTGGACAGTGGGACTTGGTGTTCAACTGACTACTTTATATCTCCTAATGAACTTGTCTGGATAAATATTATCAACCAGAGTTTGTGTCAACTTTCCTTTTTCTTCCTCCTCATCTAGTGTGTCTTCAATGGATATTCTTTGGATTCCACTGAAGAGGCATCTTACTTAGGGTGTTTTGTACTGAACAGGGCAAAAACTGTGATCATTGAGGGAAAAAAATTCTGGTTAGTCAAAGTACAGTGCTGCTTATTGTAAAAATCAGTCAATAGAAGACGGGAATTTATTTGGTGTCTTACTAGAGGTTGGAAAAAGTCTGTTATTTGGACAACACAAAGTACTACTTCTCAATTGGAATGTAAATTAACTAACTATACCGCTTCATGATATGTTGTAAAGTGTAGTATTGAATTAAAATAGTTGATTATTCAACAGAATCTGCCTTTGTTCCATACTAAAGATGTGATATAAGTCTAGAAATAAAGATGGGTTAGAAACGCAGTGAGGCGATTGTGGAATGGCATCACTTGACAGGCAGTCTCTCTAGTAGAACGCTTACAGGAAACGACCACTTTGGTGTGTTACTTTGATAAAGATGACATGGACCTAAGGGCAATCATACAGGAATGTGAAAAAACCTTCAGAGTACAGAATAAAATGATGTACTGATGATGCCCTGTATTTCACTTAGAATCGAAGGACGAAGTGGTTATTCGCATACTTATACACTTTCGTAAACAGTTGCATAAGCCTGGAGTTTATTGACTACTGTATCAGTTACCAATAGCTGAATCACCTAAGAGCTTGCCTTATTACGCGAAGGCCCTCATTCTATTCTATACTATTCTTTTTATTCCTTTACGTTACCAGTGGGACATAGCGAGGGCTTCAAACTGGAGGCCTGAAGTCTCGGTAGCAGCGATATTTATTTTTATAGGATGGGGTTGCTAGCCTTATGCCCAGCCTAACCTTCCGTCTTTACTAGTCGTATTACTGGCTTAGCGAGGTAAAGGAGTGCACCCAGTGGCCAGTGATCGAATCCTAGGCCATGTGAGGTGTAGTTGGCGAGCATTCTACCACTGTGCCTCCAACGCGTGTGTACTTTTGAAGAGTCTTAAACTAGGAATAAACAGTTATTATCCAATACTTTCTTATTTCCGAGTGGGGTTCTTCAACCTATTTCAAAGATTATAAAGCTTTATCATTAATTTATAATAAAACATCTCCGGTTGTGATTCACTAATCAATCACACTCCGGAAATGTTTATTTAATTTTTTTTTTACAAGAATAGCCTTACTTACCAAATCACAGTATGTTTTAGCCAGATTAATATAATTCGTTGTTGTTTTATCGGCATAAGCAGGATTCCATGCGATTGCTGAATTATTATTTTGATGATTTATAGTTGACTCAATCCAATAGACTCTGGAAACTATTATTTGAAGGTGGAATCGAAAGCATGGAATAGAAAGCAAAAGAATACATTTAATAAACTGTGTCATCTACGCTAGTAATATAATAAAATAAAACTAACAACTGGTACACACAGGTTCAGTCTTCTTAAATTTGATCTATATCAGGGTGTATATATATATATCTATCTATCTAAACTTTAATGTGAATGCCTAAAATCAAATGATGAGATGAGCCATCTTGTAGGGTCAGCTTAGTTTGAAATACCAGTCTATAGGAACATACTGGCATAGGATATTCCAATTTGTTAACTTATAGAACATTTCCGGTAGTAGGTAGGATTTATTCAGTTCATCCTACAGAGTAGGGCGACACGTTTTTACCAAACTTGAGAAAAATCGTATTTATGAGAAGATTGTCATTACTCTCAAAAACGTGTATTGGTTGGCAGAGGATTAGAAGACATCCTATCAGAAACCTTATCATCACTGATATATAATCACTGTAAATATGTTTCGTTATTGTTTCAAGAATAAATAATAGTTCTGCCCAAAACGTTTTATGTTGTTCCTCGTCGGTTACAGCGCATAGTCTTCTACGTATTGGGCTTAATTTTCTGAAACCACCTGTCTATACGTCCAAGATTCATTATTTGTTATCATTGGAGATACATTTGGCGCGCTAAGTTGGAAGGAACAGTATTGACTAAATGTCTCTCTAATAACCTATTTCATTTTTGATTGAACACTAGTCAGTTACTAGTGTAATGTATCTAATCCTCTGTGTTTGGTGCAAACTGAATTCTATCAATCAAGCTTGCAATGTGGCTAGCATGCCACTAGATGGTGGCTTGCCATCACAGTAGTAGTACACTGTGGATTGTTAGTATTAGATGGTTGAAGGTAATCGGCCACAAGAAGCGTTGAACATCACCTAGGTATCGTGCTAGTTGTCACTCACCAGTCAGTCATCAAAGCGTATCTGCTACCAGCTTGAAGGAATTCATTTCCCTGTTGCTGAGATTCTAACCCGCATCACCTAGTGAGTACTGTGGTCAGTCAGAGACGTTATCACTAAACTAGTCAGGAACTAGTGGAATGTGTCTACTCCTATCTTCGGTACAGACTGAATTCTATCAGTCAAGCTTAACGATTCTTTAAAAAAATACAAAACATAGTTCATACCTCGAAATGAAAAAAAGTTAGCAAATTAAATGCATGCATATGTATAGATAGAAGCAAGCTAAACTGCTAAATCATAACTGCAAATAATAATTAATTAATGAATTAATGAATTAAATAATACAAACGTAAAACCAAATGATAAAATAAAAATAAAATAGAAATCATTTTTAAAACAAAAGAAAACTGTAACGAAGTATTGTAACATTGAACAGCATGTGCATAGGTTGGTGTGCATGTGCTTAGTATGTACTATAGGAGTGTGTGTGTGTGTGTGTGCGTGTATACGTGTTGGCGTGAACCTTTCAGGTAGTTACGAACCCTGTTTTTTTCTTGCGCTAATTACAGAATCTTGCACACATCAGAGATTTATCTTTTACACTATACAGGTTTATTTATCAATCAACCTATGAATAAACCCATTATTAAAAAAAGAAACCTTTAACAACAAAAGAAAATACCAGCTTATTTGATAAGTAATTCAATTAGATTGTCACTTTTTCTTTCGTTTTCATGACATATACTACTTATATGTATATTGCTGTGAATATAAGCATTCATACTGAAGTATATATATATATATATATATATATATATATATACAAGCAACAAGAAGTATGTAACAACTTTTTGACGAGTCCTATTCGAACAGCATGAATTCTAAATGTAAATGCGTAAACATTTTATTTTTTTGCTTTTAAAATAATCAAATGCAAGACAGAACAAACGAAAAACAACAACTAAAAGAAAGAATTAAAATCTTCCTGATATAATGAGCATAATTTGGAAATGCTAATCTATCATCAAAGGTAAATAATGTATGTGTATGGGTGCACGTGTGTGTTTGTCTTTAGCCTTTGCTATGGGATTGTCAGTCCACAAGAAAAAAAAAGATGACATGTATCCATATGTGAGAGTTAGTTAGTTCATGGGAATGTCATATACCTACTGCTGTTGATGCTAATGGTGATGTCGTTGTCGGTCATCTGCGTTGTTTGACAAGAGATTGAAATGTATTGCATGCCTAATTTGTCGTATTCTCTGTGTGAAATTGATGGGTTGGGGGAAAAGTAGTTCATAGTATTACTATTTTTATTATTATAATTATTCATACAAGATGAACTCATCTCCTTGAATCATCGTGAAACAGAGTGAAGTAATCGGTCAATTATGTGAAAGCTGTCATGTGTATATATACATATATTCATGTAAAATACATTTAGCATGGAATAGTTTGGTGTACAGTTCACAGAGAAACAAACCCTTCTATTGTGAATTAATTTAATAGAGATGTGTAATCACTTCATTGAAAATACCTTGTTCTTGCATTTTAGCCATAATTGAGATACGAAAAAAGTGAATAGTAGTTTTTATTTTATTTTTTTTTATTATTTTTTGATTACAGCTTGATTCCACACCGTATTGTTCGGTACAGGTATGGAATTTTCAGCATGTGATATCGGTAGCCAAGATTTTGCAGACCGACCATAGATATCAGTTGTGCGTCGGCAGAGGGTTGAACCCCGGACCAGGTGCACGGTCAGCAAGAGTCCTAGCTGGTGTGCCACCGACGCATACTATGTTATTGTAGTAGAAGTAGTGTGGTGGTGTGATATAGACAATAGGTTCCAATTGAATATTATTATTCCCACAGTTTGATGTGGTATTAGCAACAAAATATTATATGTACTTGAATATATATAATTCCTTTACGTTCCCAGTGGTTCATAAGGCTTCAAGCTAGAGACTTGAAGTTTCGGTAGCAATTGTGTGTTCATTTTCACGGGATGAGGTTGCTTACCTCATGCACAGCTAAACCTTCCCTTTTTACTAGTTCTATTACTGGATTAGTGAGGTAACGGAGTGCGTCGGTGGCCGGGAATCGAACCCCGAACTACGTGAGACTTGGTAGGCGAGCATTCTACCACTGTAATTTTGATTGGACACTAGTAACTAATGTGACGTGTCTCTTCCTTCTTTTGGTGCAGACTGGATACTATCAGTCAGGTTTCCAATGTGGCCACCATCTCACTAGGTAGCTCGCCATCACGGTGCACATTGATTTGATGATATTAGATAGTTGAAGGCAATCGGCCACAGGAAGCCTTGGACACCACCTAGGTTTCGTGCTAGTTGGTACTCATCAACAAGACGTATCTACAACGAGCTTGAAGGACCTCATTTCCCTTCTGAGATTCGAACCCGCGTCACCCAGTGTTACCTGCAGTCAGGGACGTTACCACTGAGCAATTCGAGCTGGCTCGCAATTGACCTCCTGTAGGACTGTATTGGTTACTTCGATTGGATACTTGTTAGTGAGTGATGGTGTTCCCACCGAAGCTCGAATCCAATGCCCATAGTTTCCAACGTCAAAGCGTTTTATCCAACTGACGAGTCCCAAATACGACAAAATGGGCATCTTGGATTCCACTGCTGGTGTCACCATCGACCAACTGACTTCAGGTTACATGAGCAGAAATCGTCGAAGCATCTGCATAAGGAGCCAACATGTCAACTTAAGACCAAGCACTTCGGTCCAACCACTCGATGGGGAAATCTTCAATTGAATTATACAGTCTAGTAGGTTTTAATTTCCTTCAGTTGCTGACCAGTCATTCAGTCTGTATCACAAAAAGAACTTCAAATATCTGTGTGTCCATTCGTATGATAGTTAGACTCAATTATTGTTTTACATCTAATAATATCTGTTTTAAGGCTTACTCATATTTTGGAAGATGAATCATAGCTCGAATTCATGCGGTTAGTGTTATGTTGACTACATACCCGAATGTTTAAAGTAAAACTATTGGATTTTTTGCCCAGTGTGAATAGAATTCCTTCAAACAATAGTACATCTGCTTTTTATCAGGAGCGGTTCTATTCTCTCCCCGAGATAGATCGTTTGTCCTACCGGTGAATATCTTCAATATATTCTTGAAAATGAAATATAATTCCTGAAGATGATGTCTAGGAGAGACAATGAAATCTTTACAAAACACAGCCATCGAAGCTGTAAATCTTCTGCACTATTACCTTCCAATGAGCTTATCACCACAACTGAAAAAAGCGCTAAGCAGAGTTAGTCAGTTAGTTAGTTAGCTAGCTAAGCTTAATAAATAAAATGTATGTGATACCGGAGTATCAATATTCAGACATAAACAAGATGTGTATTTCTTAGATTTCCTCAGTATCACCCCACGTAAAGCTGCTGCCTTCACGTTGTGGTTAGGCTTGCATATCACTATGACCCTATGAGGTACAGTGGTTGGAATTACTGTTCCTAGAGGTCCTACCATTCCAGAAACGTCGTTATCAACACACTGTCACTGGTTTATACTACGATGGTTGTCTACGGGTGAAGTCGTGCAGCCGGCAAAGCGTAACAGTAGTAAGATTTCCATCAGTTGATGAAGAAAACTGGGTATACTGTCTTTCTGCTCTTGAAAAAGGGAAAGAGGTTATAAAAGGTCGACCCTGACAATTTTACATCTCGACTAACCTTGCAGCAGTCCGTAGCCGAAGTGGTAAGATCTTAATTGGGAAACAACGCTAAAAACCACTTCAAACAGCTCGGATATAACTGTTATCTAATAGTTTTCCCCTGAACCCTCTGGTCATGCAACACTAATGCTCCTTCTGTTCCAGGTATTGGAAGAAGAAGTCAACTATCCCAGTGCAGGCAGCCAGGAAGGGATAACCTCTTATACACACACATACTTGCATAAGCATACAAAGCTTTCGTCATCATCACTAGCTATCACCATAGTACAGAGTGTTTAGAACGACAATATGGAATTCATAATAACTTCCAGAATAAATGCCAACTAGTTAAACTTGTGTTATCGAAAATCACTGAGAAGAAAACATTGGATTGGGTCCCAGTGACTTAATGGTCTACGAGCTAGCTGACCTTGTAATCAGAATGTCCTGAGTTTAAACCCTTCATGTTTTCCAATGGTTCTCTAACTGATGTGAGTTCAGGATAAAATCCTGAAAAAAGGTGGATTATTTTAATTAATTATTGTACTTCAAATTTGCTCAACTAATGTGTCTCCAGTATTAAGTAAGTTCAGAAATTCATATTGACGATGACAGTGAAAATGTTCCCGTGTTGTTTTTCTTGATTTCTCTACCGGCTAGTAAACTTAGAGAGATTAGGGAATGCATCAGTCGAGAATCAACTCTAAACTTCCAGTGTGTGGTGGTAAAGCAATGACATGGATCCTCGCTTAACTAGCAGTAAGCTCATGGATGGGGAGGGGAGATTCGGTATTTGGCTTGCAGTACTACTACTATCTATGAAACTTCAAAGCTTACGACTTGAAGCCTTATGTCCACTTGGAAAGCAAGCTATGAAAACAAAATAATATTTGGGTAAGCAATGACATGAAAAATGTAATAAATAATACAAGATAACTTTTCAAATATTTGACCTTACTTTATAACCTAAATTGAACAGTTCTTCACAAGAGATATACATTATATGTGTCAAATATACGGAAGGCAAAAGTCTGATGAGTGCCAGATAGCACGAAACCTGCCGATTACCTCCAGCCATCTAATGTCACCAAGAAGTGAAAGTCTGCTAAGCTTTATATCGGTATCAATAAAGAATAGACACCGAAGTCGAATGACCTTGAACCAACCAATCACATCGCTGCTCAGCTCAACATAACAAAATGAATGCTTTTTAATAATCTTCGTTGCAAGAATCACTCAAACAAAAAAAACCAAACCCTAACCTAACATTATTCCTGAATCAGGATGAAACTTGCAAAGAACATTATAAAATGCATCTAATTATAATGCTAGACAGTGGTATGATTGGTTGGTTCAACGTTGCTTAAATATGGTACATATTCTTCAATGTTACCTCTTGAAATGTAGTAAAATAACAAAAAGTCAGGAAATTATTGACTGATGGGTTATAATAAGCGTATACAAAAAAAAAGAAAAAAAGAGCGATGTTATCTAGACAAACATGAAAGGAAACAAGATTATACGAATCTACAATATCATTCAACGAAAATCTCTAATAAATTGTTCATTTGAAAATTAATCTATGATGCATTCACCGATAGAAACTGAAATAATGCAGATACGCAAAATGCACATGAGGCGAATATCAAATCAGATTTACCGCAGCACTACATATAACTACCAAAAGCATGAAGGTATACAGCAAAATCAAATAGAAAGCAAAGAGGCAAATAAAACTATTTTACCGATTAGTAGCAGCAAGCCATAATAACGATCCGTCAAAAGAAACAAGATGATATGTTCACAAGTAAATTCTACTAAAAGGCTTACCAGACACAGAAGCGATAACACTGGTGGAAGTCCTAAAAATCACAGTAAATGTTGAAGGTATAGGTGTTGTGACGGAGATTGGAGCGGGTGTTGGAGTGGTTGTGATGATGGCGGTAGTGGTAGTGGCGGCGGCGGCCGTGGTGGATTGAGTAGTGGAATCAGTCGGTGTTGGCGTTGTTGGCGGCGGTGTTGTCGACGTTGATGTTGGCGATGGTGTGGTTGTTGCAGTCGGCGTGTTTGTTGGTGTTGTTGCTGTTGTCGTGGGTGTTTCTGTTGTTGTTGTTTGTGGTGTGCTTGTCATGGGCTGAGTTGTGCTGTGTGTGGTTGTAGTGTCTGTGGGTGTGGGTGTTTGTTGTTGCGTTGTGATGATTGTTGACGGTGTCGGTGACATTGTTGTTGTCGTGGGCGGTTGAGTCGCTGTTGTTGTTTGTGGCGTTGACGTTTCCGTAGTCGCTTGAGGAGTGGTGGCAGTGGGTGATGGTGTTGTCGGCGTTTGCGTTGGTGTTTGCGTTGTCATTAGTGTGGTTGTGGTTGTTTGTGTTGTTGGTGTTTCTGTTTGTGTTGATGGTTGAGATGTGGTTGTGGCCGCCTGAGTGGTGACAGTTGTAGGCGTTGGTGTAGCAGTTGTAGTTGGCGCTGGCGTCGACATTGGTGTCGGTGTTGTTGTTGGTGTTGGTGTAGGTGTTGTCTGTTCTATTGTGGTTGTGGGTGTGGGTGTTGTGACGGTGGTTGGAGCGGGTGTTGGAGTGGTTGTGATGATGGCGGTAGTGGTAGTGGCGGCGGCGGCCGTGGTGGATTGAGTAGTGGAATCAGTCGGTGTTGGCGTTGTTGGCGGCGGTGTTGTCGACGTTGATGTTGGCGATGGTGTGGTTGTTGCAGTCGGCGTGTTTGTTGGTGTTGTTGCTGTTGTCGTGGGTGTTTCTGTTGTTGTTGTTTGTGGTGTGCTTGTCATGGGCTGAGTTGTGCTGTGTGTGGTTGTAGTGTCTGTGGGTGTGGGTGTTTGTTGTTGCGTTGTGATGATTGTTGACGGTGTCGGTGACATTGTTGTTGTCGTGGGCGGTTGAGTCGCTGTTGTTGTTTGTGGCGTTGACGTTTCCGTAGTCGCTTGAGGAGTGGTGGCAGTGGGTGATGGTGTTGTCGGCGTTTGCGTTGGTGTTTGCGTTGTCATTAGTGTGGTTGTGGTTGTTTGTGTTGTTGGTGTTTCTGTTTGTGTTGATGGTTGAGATGTGGTTGTGGCCGCCTGAGTGGTGACAGTTGTAGGCGTTGGTGTAGCAGTTGTAGTTGGCGCTGGCGTCGACATTGGTGTCGGTGTTGTTGTTGGTGTTGGTGTAGGTGTTGTCTGTTCTATTGTGGTTGTGGGTGTGGGTGTTGTGACGGTGGTTGGAGCGGGTGTTGGAGTGGTTGTGATGATGGCGGTAGTGGTGGTGGCGGCGGCGGCCGTGGTGGATTGAGTAGTGGAATCAGTCGGTGTTGGCGTTGTTGGCGGCGGTGTTGTCGACGTTGATGTTGGCGATGGTGTGGTCGTTGCAGTCGGCGTGTTTGTTGGTGTTGTTGCTGTTGTCGTGGGTGTTTCTGTTGTTGTTGTTTGTGGTGTGCTTGTCATGGGCTGAGTTGTGCTGTGTGTGGTTGTAGTGTCTGTGGGTGTGGGTGTTTGTTGTTGCGTTGTGATGATTGTTGACGGTGTCGGTGACATTGTTGTTGTCGTGGGCGGTTGAGTCGCTGTTGTTGTTTGTGGCGTTGACGTTTCCGTAGTCGCTTGAGGAGTGGTGGCAGTGGGTGATGGTGTTGTCGGCGTTTGCGTTGGTGTTTGCGTTGTCATTAGTGTGGTTGTGGTTGTTTGTGTTGTTGGTGTTTCTGTTTGTGTTGATGGTTGAGATGTGGTTGTGGCCGCCTGAGTGGTGACAGTTGTAGGCGTTGGTGTAGCAGTTGTAGTTGGCGCTGGCGTCGACATTGGTGTCGGTGTTGTTGTTGGTGTTGGTGTAGGTGTTGTCTGTTCTATTGTGGTTGTGGGTGTGGGTGTTGTGACGGTGGTTGGAGCGGGTGTTGGAGTGGTTGTGATGATGGCGGTAGTGGTGGTGGCGGCGGCGGCCGTGGTGGATTGAGTAGTGGAATCAGTCGGTGTTGGCGTTGTTGGCGGCGGTGTTGTCGACGTTGATGTTGGCGATGGTGTGGTTGTTGCAGTCGGCGTGTTTGTTGGTGTTGTTGCTGTTGTCGTGGGTGTTTCTGTTGTTGTTGTTTGTGGTGTGCTTGTCATGGGCTGAGTTGTGCTGTGTGTGGTTGTAGTGTCTGTGGGTGTGGGTGTTTGTTGTTGCGTTGTGATGATTGTTGACGGTGTCGGTGACATTGTTGTTGTCGTGGGCGGTTGAGTCGCTGTTGTTGTTTGTGGCGTTGACGTTTCCGTAGTCGCTTGAGGAGTGGTGGCAGTGGGTGATGGTGTTGTCGGCGTTTGCGTTGGTGTTTGCGTTGTCATTAGTGTGGTTGTGGTTGTTTGTGTTGTTGGTGTTTCTGTTTGTGTTGATGGTTGAGATGTGGTTGTGGCCGCCTGAGTGGTGACAGTTGTAGGCGTTGGTGTAGCAGTTGTAGTTGGCGCTGGCGTCGACATTGGTGTCGGTGTTGTTGTTGGTGTTGGTGTAGGTGTTGTCTGTTCTATTGTGGTTGTGGGTGTGGGTGTTGTGACGGTGGTTGGAGCGGGTGTTGGAGTGGTTGTGATGATGGCGGTAGTGGTGGTGGCGGCGGCGGCCGTGGTGGATTGAGTAGTGGAATCAGTCGGTGTTGGCGTTGTTGGCGGCGGTGTTGTCGACGTTGATGTTGGCGATGGTGTGGTCGTTGCAGTCGGCGTGTTTGTTGGTGTTGTTGCTGTTGTCGTGGGTGTTTCTGTTGTTGTTGTTTGTGGTGTGCTTGTCATGGGCTGAGTTGTGCTGTGTGTGGTTGTAGTGTCTGTGGGTGTGGGTGTTTGTTGTTGCGTTGTGATGATTGTTGACGGTGTCGGTGACATTGTTGTTGTCGTGGGCGGTTGAGTCGCTGTTGTTGTTTGTGGCGTTGACGTTTCCGTAGTCGCTTGAGGAGTGGTGGCAGTGGGTGATGGTGTTGTCGGCGTTTGCGTTGGTGTTTGCGTTGTCATTAGTGTGGTTGTGGTTGTTTGTGTTGTTGGTGTTTCTGTTTGTGTTGATGGTTGAGATGTGGTTGTGGCCGCCTGAGTGGTGACAGTTGTAGGCGTTGGTGTAGCAGTTGTAGTTGGCGCTGGCGTCGACATTGGTGTCGGTGTTGTTGTTGGTGTTGGTGTAGGTGTTGTCTGTTCTATTGTGGTTGTGGGTGTGGGTGTTGTGACGGTGGTTGGAGCGGGTGTTGGAGTGGTTGTGATGATGGCGGTAGTGGTAGTGGCGGCGGCGGCCGTGGTGGATTGAGTAGTGGAATCAGTCGGTGTTGGCGTTGTTGGCGGCGGTGTTGTCGACGTTGATGTTGGCGATGGTGTGGTTGTTGCAGTCGGCGTGTTTGTTGGTGTTGTTGCTGTTGTCGTGGGTGTTTCTGTTGTTGTTGTTTGTGGTGTGCTTGTCATGGGCTGAGTTGTGCTGTGTGTGGTTGTAGTGTCTGTGGGTGTGGGTGTTTGTTGTTGCGTTGTGATGATTGTTGACGGTGTCGGTGACATTGTTGTTGTCGTGGGCGGTTGAGTCGCTGTTGTTGTTTGTGGCGTTGACGTTTCCGTAGTCGCTTGAGGAGTGGTGGCAGTGGGTGATGGTGTTGTCGGCGTTTGCGTTGGTGTTTGCGTTGTCATTAGTGTGGTTGTGGTTGTTTGTGTTGTTGGTGTTTCTGTTTGTGTTGATGGTTGAGATGTGGTTGTGGCCGCCTGAGTGGTGACAGTTGTAGGCGTTGGTGTAGCAGTTGTAGTTGGCGCTGGCGTCGACATTGGTGTCGGTGTTGTTGTTGGTGTTGGTGTAGGTGTTGTCTGTTCTATTGTGGTTGTGGGTGTGGGTGTTGTGACGGTGGTTGGAGCGGGTGTTGGAGTGGTTGTGATGATGGCGGTAGTGGTGGTGGCGGCGGCGGCCGTGGTGGATTGAGTAGTGGAATCAGTCGGTGTTGGCGTTGTTGGCGGCGGTGTTGTCGACGTTGATGTTGGCGATGGTGTGGTCGTTGCAGTCGGCGTGTTTGTTGGTGTTGTTGCTGTTGTCGTGGGTGTTTCTGTTGTTGTTGTTTGTGGTGTGCTTGTCATGGGCTGAGTTGTGCTGTGTGTGGTTGTAGTGTCTGTGGGTGTGGGTGTTTGTTGTTGCGTTGTGATGATTGTTGACGGTGTCGGTGACATTGTTGTTGTCGTGGGCGGTTGAGTCGCTGTTGTTGTTTGTGGCGTTGACGTTTCCGTAGTCGCTTGAGGAGTGGTGGCAGTGGGTGATGGTGTTGTCGGCGTTTGCGTTGGTGTTTGCGTTGTCATTAGTGTGGTTGTGGTTGTTTGTGTTGTTGGTGTTTCTGTTTGTGTTGATGGTTGAGATGTGGTTGTGGCCGCCTGAGTGGTGACAGTTGTAGGCGTTGGTGTAGCAGTTGTAGTTGGCGCTGGCGTCGACATTGGTGTCGGTGTTGTTGTTGGTGTTGGTGTAGGTGTTGTCTGTTCTATTGTGGTTGTGGGTGTGGGTGTTGTGACGGTGGTTGGAGCGGGTGTTGGAGTGGTTGTGATGATGGCGGTAGTGGTGGTGGCGGCGGCGGCCGTGGTGGATTGAGTAGTGGAATCAGTCGGTGTTGGCGTTGTTGGCGGCGGTGTTGTCGACGTTGATGTTGGCGATGGTGTGGTTGTTGCAGTCGGCGTGTTTGTTGGTGTTGTTGCTGTTGTCGTGGGTGTTTCTGTTGTTGTTGTTTGTGGTGTGCTTGTCATGGGCTGAGTTGTGCTGTGTGTGGTTGTAGTGTCTGTGGGTGTGGGTGTTTGTTGTTGCGTTGTGATGATTGTTGACGGTGTCGGTGACATTGTTGTTGTCGTGGGCGGTTGAGTCGCTGTTGTTGTTTGTGGCGTTGACGTTTCCGTAGTCGCTTGAGGAGTGGTGGCAGTGGGTGATGGTGTTGTCGGCGTTTGCGTTGGTGTTTGCGTTGTCATTAGTGTGGTTGTGGTTGTTTGTGTTGTTGGTGTTTCTGTTTGTGTTGATGGTTGAGATGTGGTTGTGGCCGCCTGAGTGGTGACAGTTGTAGGCGTTGGTGTAGCAGTTGTAGTTGGCGCTGGCGTCGACATTGGTGTCGGTGTTGTTGTTGGTGTTGGTGTAGGTGTTGTCTGTTCTATTGTGGTTGTGGGTGTGGGTGTTGTGACGGTGGTTGGAGCGGGTGTTGGAGTGGTTGTGATGATGGCGGTAGTGGTGGTGGCGGCGGCGGCCGTGGTGGATTGAGTAGTGGAATCAGTCGGTGTTGGCGTTGTTGGCGGCGGTGTTGTCGACGTTGATGTTGGCGATGGTGTGGTCGTTGCAGTCGGCGTGTTTGTTGGTGTTGTTGCTGTTGTCGTGGGTGTTTCTGTTGTTGTTGTTTGTGGTGTGCTTGTCATGGGCTGAGTTGTGCTGTGTGTGGTTGTAGTGTCTGTGGGTGTGGGTGTTTGTTGTTGCGTTGTGATGATTGTTGACGGTGTCGGTGACATTGTTGTTGTCGTGGGCGGTTGAGTCGCTGTGGTTGTTTGTGGCGTTGACGTTTCCGTAGTCGCTTGAGGAGTGGTGGCAGTGGGTGATGGTGTTGTCGGCGTTTGCGTTGGTGTTTGCGTTGTCATTAGTGTGGTTGTGGTTGTTTGTGTTGTTGGTGTTTCTGTTTGTGTTGATGGTTGAGATGTGGTTGTGGCCGCCTGAGTGGTGACAGTTGTAGGCGTTGGTGTAGCAGTTGTAGTTGGCGCTGGCGTCGACATTGGTGTCGGTGTTGTTGTTGGTGTTGGTGTAGGTGTTGTCTGTTCTATTGTGGTTGTGGGTGTGGGTGTTGTGACGGTGGTTGGAGCGGGTGTTGGAGTGGTTGTGATGATGGCGGTAGTGGTGGTGGCGGCGGCGGCCGTGGTGGATTGAGTAGTGGAATCAGTCGGTGTTGGCGTTGTTGGCGGCGGTGTTGTCGACGTTGATGTTGGCGATGGTGTGGTTGTTGCAGTCGGCGTGTTTGTTGGTGTTGTTGCTGTTGTCGTGGGTGTTTCTGTTGTTGTTGTTTGTGGTGTGCTTGTCATGGGCTGAGTTGTGCTGTGTGTGGTTGTAGTGTCTGTGGGTGTGGGTGTTTGTTGTTGCGTTGTGATGATTGTTGACGGTGTCGGTGACATTGTTGTTGTCGTGGGCGGTTGAGTCGCTGTTGTTGTTTGTGGCGTTGACGTTTCCGTAGTCGCTTGAGGAGTGGTGGCAGTGGGTGATGGTGTTGTCGGCGTTTGCGTTGGTGTTTGCGTTGTCATTAGTGTGGTTGTGGTTGTTTGTGTTGTTGGTGTTTCTGTTTGTGTTGATGGTTGAGATGTGGTTGTGGCCGCCTGAGTGGTGACAGTTGTAGGCGTTGGTGTAGCAGTTGTAGTTGGCGCTGGCGTCGACATTGGTGTCGGTGTTGTTGTTGGTGTTGGTGTAGGTGTTGTCTGTTCTATTGTGGTTGTGGGTGTGGGTGTTGTGACGGTGGTTGGAGCGGGTGTTGGAGTGGTTGTGATGATGGCGGTAGTGGTGGTGGCGGCGGCGGCCGTGGTGGATTGAGTAGTGGAATCAGTCGGTGTTGGCGTTGTTGGCGGCGGTGTTGTCGACGTTGATGTTGGCGATGGTGTGGTCGTTGCAGTCGGCGTGTTTGTTGGTGTTGTTGCTGTTGTCGTGGGTGTTTCTGTTGTTGTTGTTTGTGGTGTGCTTGTCATGGGCTGAGTTGTGCTGTGTGTGGTTGTAGTGTCTGTGGGTGTGGGTGTTTGTTGTTGCGTTGTGATGATTGTTGACGGTGTCGGTGACATTGTTGTTGTCGTGGGCGGTTGAGTCGCTGTTGTTGTTTGTGGCGTTGACGTTTCCGTAGTCGCTTGAGGAGTGGTGGCAGTGGGTGATGGTGTTGTCGGCGTTTGCGTTGGTGTTTGCGTTGTCATTAGTGTGGTTGTGGTTGTTTGTGTTGTTGGTGTTTCTGTTTGTGTTGATGGTTGAGATGTGGTTGTGGCCGCCTGAGTGGTGACAGTTGTAGGCGTTGGTGTAGCAGTTGTAGTTGGCGCTGGCGTCGACATTGGTGTCGGTGTTGTTGTTGGTGTTGGTGTAGGTGTTGTCTGTTCTATTGTGGTTGTGGGTGTGGGTGTTGTGACGGTGGTTGGAGCGGGTGTTGGAGTGGTTGTGATGATGGCGGTAGTGGTGGTGGCGGCGGCGGCCGTGGTGGATTGAGTAGTGGAATCAGTCGGTGTTGGCGTTGTTGGCGGCGGTGTTGTCGACGTTGATGTTGGCGATGGTGTGGTTGTTGCAGTCGGCGTGTTTGTTGGTGTTGTTGCTGTTGTCGTGGGTGTTTCTGTTGTTGTTGTTTGTGGTGTGCTTGTCATGGGCTGAGTTGTGCTGTGTGTGGTTGTAGTGTCTGTGGGTGTGGGTGTTTGTTGTTGCGTTGTGATGATTGTTGACGGTGTCGGTGACATTGTTGTTGTCGTGGGCGGTTGAGTCGCTGTTGTTGTTTGTGGCGTTGACGTTTCCGTAGTCGCTTGAGGAGTGGTGGCAGTGGGTGATGGTGTTGTCGGCGTTTGCGTTGGTGTTTGCGTTGTCATTAGTGTGGTTGTGGTTGTTTGTGTTGTTGGTGTTTCTGTTTGTGTTGATGGTTGAGATGTGGTTGTGGCCGCCTGAGTGGTGACAGTTGTAGGCGTTGGTGTAGCAGTTGTAGTTGGCGCTGGCGTCGACATTGGTGTCGGTGTTGTTGTTGGTGTTGGTGTAGGTGTTGTCTGTTCTATTGTGGTTGTGGGTGTGGGTGTTGTGACGGTGGTTGGAGCGGGTGTTGGAGTGGTTGTGATGATGGCGGTAGTGGTGGTGGCGGCGGCGGCCGTGGTGGATTGAGTAGTGGAATCAGTCGGTGTTGGCGTTGTTGGCGGCGGTGTTGTCGACGTTGATGTTGGCGATGGTGTGGTCGTTGCAGTCGGCGTGTTTGTTGGTGTTGTTGCTGTTGTCGTGGGTGTTTCTGTTGTTGTTGTTTGTGGTGTGCTTGTCATGGGCTGAGTTGTGCTGTGTGTGGTTGTAGTGTCTGTGGGTGTGGGTGTTTGTTGTTGCGTTGTGATGATTGTTGACGGTGTCGGTGACATTGTTGTTGTCGTGGGCGGTTGAGTCGCTGTTGTTGTTTGTGGCGTTGACGTTTCCGTAGTCGCTTGAGGAGTGGTGGCAGTGGGTGATGGTGTTGTCGGCGTTTGCGTTGGTGTTTGCGTTGTCATTAGTGTGGTTGTGGTTGTTTGTGTTGTTGGTGTTTCTGTTTGTGTTGATGGTTGAGATGTGGTTGTGGCCGCCTGAGTGGTGACAGTTGTAGGCGTTGGTGTAGCAGTTGTAGTTGGCGCTGGCGTCGACATTGGTGTCGGTGTTGTTGTTGGTGTTGGTGTAGGTGTTGTCTGTTCTATTGTGGTTGTGGGTGTGGGTGTTGTGACGGTGGTTGGAGCGGGTGTTGGAGTGGTTGTGATGATGGCGGTAGTGGTGGTGGCGGCGGCGGCCGTGGTGGATTGAGTAGTGGAATCAGTCGGTGTTGGCGTTGTTGGCGGCGGTGTTGTCGACGTTGATGTTGGCGATGGTGTGGTTGTTGCAGTCGGCGTGTTTGTTGGTGTTGTTGCTGTTGTCGTGGGTGTTTCTGTTGTTGTTGTTTGTGGTGTGCTTGTCATGGGCTGAGTTGTGCTGTGTGTGGTTGTAGTGTCTGTGGGTGTGGGTGTTTGTTGTTGCGTTGTGATGATTGTTGACGGTGTCGGTGACATTGTTGTTGTCGTGGGCGGTTGAGTCGCTGTTGTTGTTTGTGGCGTTGACGTTTCCGTAGTCGCTTGAGGAGTGGTGGCAGTGGGTGATGGTGTTGTCGGCGTTTGCGTTGGTGTTTGCGTTGTCATTAGTGTGGTTGTGGTTGTTTGTGTTGTTGGTGTTTCTGTTTGTGTTGATGGTTGAGATGTGGTTGTGGCCGCCTGAGTGGTGACAGTTGTAGGCGTTGGTGTAGCAGTTGTAGTTGGCGCTGGCGTCGACATTGGTGTCGGTGTTGTTGTTGGTGTTGGTGTAGGTGTTGTCTGTTCTATTGTGGTTGTGGGTGTGGGTGTTGTGACGGTGGTTGGAGCGGGTGTTGGAGTGGTTGTGATGATGGCGGTAGTGGTGGTGGCGGCGGCGGCCGTGGTGGATTGAGTAGTGGAATCAGTCGGTGTTGGCGTTGTTGGCGGCGGTGTTGTCGACGTTGATGTTGGCGATGGTGTGGTTGTTGCAGTCGGCGTGTTTGTTGGTGTTGTTGCTGTTGTCGTGGGTGTTTCTGTTGTTGTTGTTTGTGGTGTGCTTGTCATGGGCTGAGTTGTGCTGTGTGTGGTTGTAGTGTCTGTGGGTGTGGGTGTTTGTTGTTGCGTTGTGATGATTGTTGACGGTGTCGGTGACATTGTTGTTGTCGTGGGCGGTTGAGTCGCTGTTGTTGTTTGTGGCGTTGACGTTTCCGTAGTCGCTTGAGGAGTGGTGGCAGTGGGTGATGGTGTTGTCGGCGTTTGCGTTGGTGTTTGCGTTGTCATTAGTGTGGTTGTGGTTGTTTGTGTTGTTGGTGTTTCTGTTTGTGTTGATGGTTGAGATGTGGTTGTGGCCGCCTGAGTGGTGACAGTTGTAGGCGTTGGTGTAGCAGTTGTAGTTGGCGCTGGCGTCGACATTGGTGTCGGTGTTGTTGTTGGTGTTGGTGTAGGTGTTGTCTGTTCTATTGTGGTTGTGGGTGTGGGTGTTGTGACGGTGGTTGGAGCGGGTGTTGGAGTGGTTGTGATGATGGCGGTAGTGGTGGTGGCGGCGGCGGCCGTGGTGGATTGAGTAGTGGAATCAGTCGGTGTTGGCGTTGTTGGCGGCGGTGTTGTCGACGTTGATGTTGGCGATGGTGTGGTTGTTGCAGTCGGCGTGTTTGTTGGTGTTGTTGCTGTTGTCGTGGGTGTTTCTGTTGTTGTTGTTTGTGGTGTGCTTGTCATGGGCTGAGTTGTGCTGTGTGTGGTTGTAGTGTCTGTGGGTGTGGGTGTTTGTTGTTGCGTTGTGATGATTGTTGACGGTGTCGGTGACATTGTTGTTGTCGTGGGCGGTTGAGTCGCTGTTGTTGTTTGTGGCGTTGACGTTTCCGTAGTCGCTTGAGGAGTGGTGGCAGTGGGTGATGGTGTTGTCGGCGTTTGCGTTGGTGTTTGCGTTGTCATCAGTGTGGTTGTGGTTGTTTGTGTTGTTGGTGTTTCTGTTTGTGTTGATGGTTGAGATGTGGTTGTGGCCGCCTGAGTGGTGACAGTTGTAGGCGTTGGTGTAGCAGTTGTAGTTGGCGCTGGCGTCGACATTGGTGTCGGTGTTGTTGTTGGTGTTGGTGTAGGTGTTGTCTGTTCTATTGTGGTTGTGGGTGTGGGTGTTGTGACGGTGGTTGGAGCGGGTGTTGGAGTGGTTGTGATGATGGCGGTAGTGGTGGTGGCGGCGGCGGCCGTGGTGGATTGAGTAGTGGAATCAGTCGGTGTTGGCGTTGTTGGCGGCGGTGTTGTCGACGTTGATGTTGGCGATGGTGTGGTTGTTGCAGTCGGCGTGTTTGTTGGTGTTGTTGCTGTTGTCGTGGGTGTTTCTGTTGTTGTTGTTTGTGGTGTGCTTGTCATGGGCTGAGTTGTGCTGTGTGTGGTTGTAGTGTCTGTGGGTGTGGGTGTTTGTTGTTGCGTTGTGATGATTGTTGACGGTGTCGGTGACATTGTTGTTGTCGTGGGCGGTTGAGTCGCTGTTGTTGTTTGTGGCGTTGACGTTTCCGTAGTCGCTTGAGGAGTGGTGGCAGTGGGTGATGGTGTTGTCGGCGTTTGCGTTGGTGTTTGCGTTGTCATCAGTGTGGTTGTGGTTGTTTGTGTTGTTGGTGTTTCTGTTTGTGTTGATGGTTGAGATGTGGTTGTGGCCGCCTGAGTGGTGACAGTTGTAGGCGTTGGTGTAGCAGTTGTAGTTGGCGCTGGCGTCGACATTGGTGTCGGTGTTGTTGTTGGTGTTGGTGTAGGTGTTGTCTGTTCTATTGTGGTTGTGGGTGTGGGTGTTGTGACGGTGGTTGGAGCGGGTGTTGGAGTGGTTGTGATGATGGCGGTAGTGGTGGTGGCGGCGGCGGCCGTGGTGGATTGAGTAGTGGAATCAGTCGGTGTTGGCGTTGTTGGCGGCGGTGTTGTCGACGTTGATGTTGGCGATGGTGTGGTTGTTGCAGTCGGCGTGTTTGTTGGTGTTGTTGCTGTTGTCGTGGGTGTTTCTGTTGTTGTTGTTTGTGGTGTGCTTGTCATGGGCTGAGTTGTGCTGTGTGTGGTTGTAGTGTCTGTGGGTGTGGGTGTTTGTTGTTGCGTTGTGATGATTGTTGACGGTGTCGGTGACATTGTTGTTGTCGTGGGCGGTTGAGTCGCTGTTGTTGTTTGTGGCGTTGACGTTTCCGTAGTCGCTTGAGGAGTGGTGGCAGTGGGTGATGGTGTTGTCGGCGTTTGCGTTGGTGTTTGCGTTGTCATTAGTGTGGTTGTGGTTGTTTGTGTTGTTGGTGTTTCTGTTTGTGTTGATGGTTGAGATGTGGTTGTGGCCGCCTGAGTGGTGACAGTTGTAGGCGTTGGTGTAGCAGTTGTAGTTGGCGCTGGCGTCGACATTGGTGTCGGTGTTGTTGTTGGTGTTGGTGTAGGTGTTGTCTGTTCTATTGTGGTTGTGGGTGTGGGTGTTGTGACGGTGGTTGGAGCGGGTGTTGGAGTGGTTGTGATGATGGCGGTAGTGGTGGTGGCGGCGGCGGCCGTGGTGGATTGAGTAGTGGAATCAGTCGGTGTTGGCGTTGTTGGCGGCGGTGTTGTCGACGTTGATGTTGGCGATGGTGTGGTTGTTGCAGTCGGCGTGTTTGTTGGTGTTGTTGCTGTTGTCGTGGGTGTTTCTGTTGTTGTTGTTTGTGGTGTGCTTGTCATGGGCTGAGTTGTGCTGTGTGTGGTTGTAGTGTCTGTGGGTGTGGGTGTTTGTTGTTGCGTTGTGATGATTGTTGACGGTGTCGGTGACATTGTTGTTGTCGTGGGCGGTTGAGTCGCTGTTGTTGTTTGTGGCGTTGACGTTTCCGTAGTCGCTTGAGGAGTGGTGGCAGTGGGTGATGGTGTTGTCGGCGTTTGCGTTGGTGTTTGCGTTGTCATTAGTGTGGTTGTGGTTGTTTGTGTTGTTGGTGTTTCTGTTTGTGTTGATGGTTGAGATGTGGTTGTGGCCGCCTGAGTGGTGACAGTTGTAGGCGTTGGTGTAGCAGTTGTAGTTGGCGCTGGCGTCGACATTGGTGTCGGTGTTGTTGTTGGTGTTGGTGTAGGTGTTGTCTGTTCTATTGTGGTTGTGGGTGTGGGTGTTGTGACGGTGGTTGGAGCGGGTGTTGGAGTGGTTGTGATGATGGCGGTAGTGGTGGTGGCGGCGGCGGCCGTGGTGGATTGAGTAGTGGAATCAGTCGGTGTTGGCGTTGTTGGCGGCGGTGTTGTCGACGTTGATGTTGGCGATGGTGTGGTTGTTGCAGTCGGCGTGTTTGTTGGTGTTGTTGCTGTTGTCGTGGGTGTTTCTGTTGTTGTTGTTTGTGGTGTGCTTGTCATGGGCTGAGTTGTGCTGTGTGTGGTTGTAGTGTCTGTGGGTGTGGGTGTTTGTTGTTGCGTTGTGATGATTGTTGACGGTGTCGGTGACATTGTTGTTGTCGTGGGCGGTTGAGTCGCTGTTGTTGTTTGTGGCGTTGACGTTTCCGTAGTCGCTTGAGGAGTGGTGGCAGTGGGTGATGGTGTTGTCGGCGTTTGCGTTGGTGTTTGCGTTGTCATTAGTGTGGTTGTGGTTGTTTGTGTTGTTGGTGTTTCTGTTTGTGTTGATGGTTGAGATGTGTATGTGAATTGCTCTTGTGTGGTTGTTGGCGGCTGTGTGTTGGTATTTGTACTTGTGGTTGTAGTATTTGTAACGTTTACATTTTCTGTGTATATAGTGTTTGTGCTAATGGTATCTATTTGTCTCTTATCAATGTTTTGTTTCACTGAAATTAAATTTAAATGATTTTATGTTAAATATTTTTTCTCTTATGTATAATTTTTTTAATGTTTTATTTTTATTGTATTCTGAAATAAATTTTGTCTTTTTTTATTTGTTAATTGAATTTTGATGATGTTACGCTTATATTGTTTATAACCTATGTGAACCGATTGTTTTTCTAATTTCGTATAGGATTTTTCATTTACTACTGTCTCTTAATTCCATATTTTCCGTTGTTTCTTAGTGCATCCTAACCAGAATTCACCCATTAAGCTTTTCCTCTGCTTACTTAACTGTACTATGCTTATTTCAACCTCTTTATATTCTGATTGACATTAGTAAGTTTGTTTTATGTGAAAGAACCTCCACTATCCTTCTAGCAATGTTCACTCCCTGTCCTGCCTATAGTTTCTACTAGTTATCCAATTTTTGAAATATATTGACAACAATAAGTCAAACTAATTTTAATTTTTATCAGACAAGTCTAATGTAGAAACACATCAACATACAAAAATAATTATATATATGTATATATATATATATATATATTATTGTCATTGTATACAGCTATGTGAATGAATTCGTAGCCGAAAAAGAGACTCTTCACTGAACTACACTTGTTTTTATTTTGATTAATGTCCGGTTGGAGATTATTCAAACAATTGTTATAACTCTCAAAAAAAATTATGATTATGTTATACACTAAATAAATATTTTTCAGTGATCTTAACAAGAAAATTCATTAGATTATTGTTTAAATAGATTCAATTGTCAATATATTTGGTTTGTCAGGATTAGATTTGTTTTAACGAGTTTCACCAGGGATCGATATCAGTTAGAGAATCATTGAAAGCCAGCCCTGGAGTACTGAACAGCTGTTTCATCCTAGTTTTGGAAATCATGAGTAGTATTCACCCATCACAGGTGGGTTTGAACCCAGTACCTTCCAGTTGCAAGTCAGGCTAGCTTGTATACCATTCAGCCACAGGGAACTGATTCACTGACCAGCCAATGAGTTCTGACTCCTCTTGATAGTGACTTGCTACAGGACAGAGTTTCCTTTAGTTCTAGTGAGAAGTCATGACCATTAGGGTCTATCTAGTCAAGTATGAGGATGGACACTTTTTGTTGGTGGTCGTGCTAAATATCACGAATCGGTGGAAGTTAGGATTTATGGGATGGCTTATTGAATCGATTCCCAGTGGTTGAATGGTGTATGAGCTAGCCTGACTTGTAACTGGAACCTCCTGGATTCTAACCCTGGCAGAAGGTGCGTACTACTGTTAATCCTAAATACTTGGATTGAACGGCTGTCCAGTATTCCCTAGTTAGTTCTCAATGGTTCTCTAACTGATGTCAATCCGTGATCAACTCGTTAAAACAAATACAGTTAATAGTTTATGGCTATGAACGGTAAATGTAATGCCTATATTTTTAATAATAAGGGGATGTTTACAAGTTATGACCACAAATAAGGAGTAGGAGAATGTGTTAACGCAAAACATTCGGTTAAGTAAAGTGAATTTCGCTTCTACAATTGGATTATCAAGGTAGGTTGCGAAAAATTACATTTAAAAAAAATCATTTTTGAACGTATAACATACGTATGAGCCATTTTATTCCATATTAGAAAACGTTTACTTGAAATATCACTCAGTGATACAGTACCTGACAACTACTGAATGACAAGATTTCTAGCATAAATTATTACTGCTCATAATCATATGAATTTAGTCATAGAGTTGCCTGATTTTCCTTTTATATATATATATATATATATATATATGTTTTCTCTCTTGCTCTCTCTCTCCTCAGCTTCCCTATGTTGGGTTATTTCCGCCTAAAATAACTGATCCCTGTTAAATTACATAACCTAGAAAAAAGCTTAGCTGTGTTGCACTGCATTCACTTGCATGTAGTCACACAATAGAGTGGGTGGGACAGAGTGAGAGTATTAAAAAAGTAAGTATAATTAGGCGGATAGACAGAGATGTTAATCATTGAAGCTTTGTTTATCAATTCAACACGAACACACGTGCAATCGGAATGACGCAATGCATATCTTGTAGATATAAAAAGTGACAATGAACATCAAAAGGGAAGCTGGAAAGATAGAATGGAAAGAAAATGCCTATAAGGCAAATTGTGAAACCTTGTGACTAAAACTGATATGATAATGAGTAGCAGTCGTTTATACTTGAAACCGGCCAAGTTAAACTTTAAGCACCACTTAAACAACTACTAATCAGTGAATGACCTCGAATGCACCAATGAGGTTGATGCATATGAGTTGAAGGTTGTATTCCGTTTGATTCGTGTCAAATGCCTGCTGTAACAAAGTTATGCTTGCAGTTCGATGAGGATAAGGCTTTGCAGTATTGCCTGGATGTTCGAATGCTTAGGAAGGAGAGGATTTGTTCATGTAGAGGTGTCATGAGTATAAAAAAGCTTCAGCAGGACGATTGATGCATGTGTCCATTGTTGTGCAATTCGCTTGAGACGAGTGAGTGTTAGGGAAGGTAAGCTGTTCATTTTAATATTTCATAGGAATATTTTTTGCCAAGTCGCATCTCTCCTCAACCTAGATTTTGGTTATTTGTAATTACAGGGTTTTAAAAGATCCTGTGAGCGGTGCAGCTGCCCAAACTGAAAATAGCCTAGTGTCAACAGTTCAGTGGTACCCAGCACTGTAGAGAAATTGCCTCATGGAAAGTGAGGAGAATTATTTCGTTGCTAGGAGGAAAAGGTGTAGTCGTACACAGGGACGAAACTGTCTTATGGGAGGAAAAATAAAACCGTGGTCGTGAGCGAGCCAAAAATGTTTGAGTGATCGGTTAATGTGACACCTCCTTACAGAAAGGATTCGTTGAGAGAATAGCAAACAGCAAGTTTACTACCTTAAGGCCCATTGTCACTCGACTGGTGAAACAGGGATTTATAGTACATATCGATGAATGGAAAAGTTATAACTTGCTGTCATCCCTTTGATATATTTATCACAGAGTGAACCATTCTAATGATTTTATGGATCCCATTACAGGGACATACACAAAATCTTTAGAAGCATTTTGGGGAAGATTGAAAAATAGGATTAGGGTTACAACTGAATTTTAGAAGGATGTCATTTATAGTCGTTTGGATGAATGCATGTACAGAATGTGGTGTAACTTTCCTATTGATACTCCTATGCTAAACTGGGAGATATTTCTGTCACGTGTTGGAGAAAGATACCCTGTGTGACAGTTTCATGCAGTTTTCATGCTTTTTTTTTTCATAAATATATTTTTTCCATAACCAAAAACTGCCTCATTCATGTGATTGATGCGTTCAAGGTTATTTGCTGACTAGCGGTAGTTAGTGGTGCTTAAAGTTATAACTTTGCCTCGAAACTTTGTCATCCGGTTATTAATGCCACATTATCACTGTGTGATATTTCAGAATAAACTTATCCAATGAAGCATTGGATTCTATCACAGTGCCCAAGTTTTACACTTACAATAATGAGCCTGTTTTATGAATAGGAGTTTGCGCAAATTTAAGTATATCAGCCAAATCTGGTTTGTATATTGACCCATGTCAATGATACGCTGCACTATAGATGATGTTAGATATAAGACTTCAGGATTAATGAAATCATGTGATTTAACTTGTTCTTACAGCCACTTTGGAATCTATTCAGGTAACCTGAGTCATATGAAAAAAGATTTTCAAGCTACTGAAACGTTGCAAGAACCTGGAACTTCACAGACCTTTGCATTCCCGTTATGTACACGTGATCACACACACAAATGTACATTAGTAAACAGAATGGAATGTGACACTATCGTTTAGATACTGTAAGGGCTCAAGGGATAGCGCATAAATAAATGTCTCATTTATCAAACAGATTCGACTTATACACTTAAATTCACTGAATTCTTAGACGATAAAAATGCTCAAAGCTGACTTGATAATTCATTTTAAAACACACATTTATTTGTCTTAATAATATTTTCAACCCTCTTCTGTTTTCTCCTTGCCTCATTTTGCCTACCCGTTTTTATCTGTGATCGTGATCCATAAACATTCTGACCTGTACTGATATAAATTGTAATCCCTTTATATACTCTGTTATGTTTAATAAAAATGTATGTGTAGTGGGTAAGTGTATGTGTGTATGATGAGAATGTTCACAAGGTGTTGAACAAATACACATTGGTTGAAGGATTTCATCATGAACTGACATCAGTTAGAGAACTATTGAAAAACCTTCAGGGAGTACTAGACAGTCGGCTGTATCATCAGCCTAGTTTTGGACTCTTCAGAAGTACTCACACACACCACATTAGGGTTCGAACCAAACAATCAAACAAAGTTCCGACAAAACCAATACTTGAAAATTGATCTGATGCTCACTAGCGACTGATCCTATTCAGGTAGGTAGTAACCTGGGGTTCTAGTAGGAAGCTGTGACCGGTAGGGCACAACACGTCGAAGGTGAGGACAGTTACTCACTGAAGAAGATTTTGCAAAGTGGCCGCGTTATTTCATGAATTGGCAGAAGTTAGAAAGCATAGACTGGTCACTGGATCGCGTCCCAGTGTCTTAATTGTCCTGGGTTCGAAATCCGTGGTGTAGGTGTGTACCGTTGAAGAGTCTAGAACTAGGCTGACGAAACAACTGGCTTCCCAGTAATTCCTGAGAATTTTTTCCAATAGTTCTTTAACTGATATCAGCTCATGTTGAAATGCTCCAACCAATCAAACAAACTAAATCTCTACAAAACGGATACTTGAAAATACACATTACACATTTCAAATAAATCACGTCTGCTTATTATTTTATCCAAAATTCACATGAACAGGTTAACTGATTTAAACAGACGACTTTTTAACCCTGGATAAAAGTTGAAATAATTGAAAACTTGGAGCAAAAAGAGGAACTACTCAGAAAAAGACAAGATATTAGATCAAATTAAGGCTGAGACCATGTGTCGTATTCTAATCTTATTCAAGTACTTCCCGTAGAATCATAATTTCTTGTTGAACACTGAACATTCTGTGTTACATAACACTACAGTTGTTTAAATCAATGATTAGGCATTTCAAGGAAAGATTAGTTGGAATTTTATGAGATTGTATTTTTGTAAACTGTCCAAGGGTTCAATACGCTAGCCAGATCAATATTCTTTTCACTCATCGCTCATTGAATTTCAATCCAATGGTTGAATGATAAATTTTTCCACCTTATAACCTGAACATAATTATTTTGACCTCTTCTGATGATGATGAAGATGTCATGAGTGGTTACTGTTATAAGATGTGCAAAACCCACAGTAGAAATACATGTTCAATGCTTCTTTATTTTCTATAACTGGTCGGTAGGGATAGAATCTGCATGGAAATGAAGCAACTGCCTAAAATACCCAACATTTAAATTCATCTAAATACCAAGAAGTATGAACTCTTGTGTGAATTAAATCAGTTAATAGTTCTCAATGAAGAACCAATATCAGTTAAGGAATCATTGAGCACTATAGAGCACCATGGATAGTTAACTATTTCATTCTACCTAGTTTAAGACTCCTTAGAATAATCTAAATATCAATCTCCAGTTCACTGATGATTATTGGATGAATTTATGGCCGATGGGGTACAGCATGTCAACATGAAGTAGGTGCTTACTTGAAGACAATGGTTCACATTAGCCTGTCCAAATAGATAAATGGTCAACTAGTCTGACCTCTTAAATTGAAGGTTCGAGTCCTGATGAAGTCCAGATTGAGCACTGACTGCCAAGGAGTCCCAAACTGGGACGAAAAAGCTGTCCGGCGCTCTCTCTACTTTTCAATGATTTCTTTACTAAAAGTTTGATTGGTTGTCTCATTTACAGGTAGTCGGAACGGACGAGGATGTCAAATCGAGCGAGAATCGGGAAGGCGAGAAAAACACACATTCATCAACCTGAAACAACCAATCTGGAAATCTTCGTCGCTCAGCCAGCATCAACAACAAAATTCGGTCGGATTTTCAATACAAACACGTCAAGTCAGTCAGTTCTTCTATACGGATCAGAAACTAGCGGGCGGGTCACAAAGAATATTTCCAACAGCCTGTTGCAGACCTTTATCAACCAACAACTGTCAACTATGGCTCTATACTGAAGATCAGATGACCGGGCCGGAAAGAATCACCAACAACAAGAAACTATGGGAACAGACAAAACAAGAACCAATCTCCCAACAACAAAAAAATATGCAGGAGAAAGTGGAGATGGATTGGACACTCTCTGAGGAGGCCGCTGAGCGACATCGCACGCGCATCAGGCCATTCCTCGAGTGGAACCAGACCGAAAAAGAAGCGGCGAGTGGGATATCAGTGCAAGGGTGACATGGAGGAGATCGTGTGAAGAGGAGTTGAAACACAGTATGGACTAACTAACATGGATTCAGGTGAAAAGTACAGCAGGAGTAAGACAGAAGTGGCAAGTGAAGACGTGCAGTTGAAGCCCTATATTCCACTAGGAACCCCAGGGAACAGTAATAATAATAATAACAAAACCTGAACTGAAATTAGTGTAGTACTCTAAGAAAAAACTCATAATCTTAGTAATAAATAACCTGCAGAAAAAAATTTTTGTTTTTTCTGATCAAAACTGTTTTCGTCTAATGAAAATATCTTTATCTTTATTGCGAAAACAAAAGGAATTACCATTTAAGTGTGTATTGGGAAGAACACTCAAAAGTATGCCATATTTAATTAAAGTAAAAATCACTCTGATAGTACTTCATTGCATTTAGTTGACACACAAGAACCTCGATTGGTTAAATAGGCTTGGCATGGGGCTAATTATCCCATCCCGTAAAAATGACCTCCAATCGTTGATGAAACCCCAAAATACAAAGAAATGCATGCAAAAAATTATACCCATAGTAACAATACTACTATTATTACTAATAGTAGTAGTAGTTGTTGTAATAACACTAATAAATACATCTCTTGCTCCATTAATCCAAATCAAGGTTATGTGTTGTATATAGGGTGGGCTGCTTTTGTCTGTGTGTGTGTGTGTCTGTGATAAAATATGCATACTTACCTAAATCACTGGTAGCTCGCTTTTGTAACTGACTCATAATATCTTGTCGTTTTACTATTTCATGATTCCTAGAGTAGATATCATCATTCAGTTTTAATGACGACCATTCTTTAGTATGATTTAATAATGCTATCATCAATGATTGTGATGGTGACAATGATGATGATGATGATGACTGTCGCGGTGATGACAAGGCTTGATTTCCAACAGATAGACATGTAAAGCCAGAGATCAGACCAATGAGACAGAATGTTGTCACAATTCTACGGCAAATCAGTTGACTGGAGTGAATCACACTCATTTTTGTTGATTCTTGTCCCTCTGTCTTTTTGAAATGAATAGGTTGAATAGTATTGGCTTAAATTTCTCCTGTTGAATGAATAATTGTTTCTATTGTCGATTGAATGCTGATATCTAAAAAGAAACATAAAAAAAATAAGAGAAGATGGAATGATGAAGGTATTCAATTTTTAGTGTAAAAATCATCCAATACTTTTAAGAATTTTCGAAGGATTTCTTTTATTAACGTGCCATTATCACACTGGACAGTAAAGTCGGATTTTAGTCACAACAACAACCCTGGGGTACTTACTGGACAACCGTTCCATCCTAGTTTTCGGAATCATCGGCAGTACGCACCCACACCACATGGTTTTAACTCACGACGCTAGCTCGTACACCATTCAGCCACTGAGACCCAATTAAATGGCCAGTCAATGAATTGTAACTTCTGCTATTTCTTGATTTAGTACGACTGGGACCAACCAATTATATCGGTGGGAAATCCATCCTCATACTTGACTGGTTAGACTTCCCTGGTCACTGGTCCCAGTGGGTGCGTAATGCCAATGATTCCAAAACTAGGATGAAACAGCTGTCCACTGCTCCACGGTTGGTTTTCAATGCTTCCCTAATTGCTCTCAATCCGTGGTCAATGTCGCAAAAACAAATGTAATCCTTACAAATCAACTCTTGACAAGAATAAGGATAGCTTTATTCTGGAAAGCGTCCATAAAATGTGAACAATTCTCAGTAGAACTTATGGCATTATGTATTCGCTTCGTCTAGCCATCTTCAGGTAAAACAGTAATGGATTTTCGATCGTATGACACAGTGTTGTCTGTTTCGAAGAATGCATGATTTCCTGACTTAAGGATATAAATTCTTTTTATTTCTCAAGTAGTGGTAGTTTGTACAAGTTGTGTTACAAAAAAACTGTCTGATGTTGTATTTTTTTATTGGATATTGGTTAGTAACTAGTGTGACGTGTCTAGTCCTCTGATTGGTGTAGACTGAATTCTATCAGTCAGGTTTCCAATGTGGCTACCATCCCACTAGGTAGCTCACCATCACGGTGCACATTGATTTGATGATATTAGATAGTTGGAGGCAATAATAATAATGATGGCTTTATTCTGGAGGGCGTCCATAAAATGTGAACAATTCTCAGTAGAACTTATGGCATTATGCATTCTCTTAGTCTAGCCATCTTCAGGTAAAATAGTAATGGATTGTAGATCGTGTGACACAGTGTTGTCAGACCTGAAGCGCGAAATCCAGTCTCTTATGATAATTTTTTTCGTTGTCTCTTTCAAAGAGTCCACGATTCACTTACCTGAGGACATAAGTTCGTTTTATTTCTGAGGCAGTGGTAGTTTGTACAGACTGTGTTAGGAACAGCTACCTGATGTCTTTTTATTGGATACTGGTTAGTAACTAGTGTAATATGTCTAGTCAACTGTGTTTGATGCAGACTGAATTCTATCAGTCACGTTTGCAGTGTGGCCACCATGCTACATGGCTCACCATCATGGTACACTGTGAACTGTTGATAGTGGATAGTTAGAGGCAATCGGCCACAGGAAGCCCCACTTGACCTTGATTCCGTGCTAGTTGGCCCTCACCAGTCAGTCAGCAAGGGGTATCTGCAACCGCCTTGAAGAAACTCCTGTCCCTTCTGAGATTTGAACCTGCGTTACCCAGTGAGTACTGCAGTCAGAGACAATACTACTGAGCTATTTAGGATCGCTGATTGCCACCGATCATCTAATATCAACAATTCAAAATGTACCATGATGGCGAGCCACTTAGAATTGTTGCCACATTGTAAACTTGACTGATACAATTCAGTTGGCACCAAACAAAGGTCTAGAAAGATGACACTAGTAACTGAATAGTGTCAAACCGAAGTAACCAATACAGTCCTACAGGAGGTCAGTTACGAGGCTTAATGGTTCGGCAGTAACGTCTCTGACACAGGTTTGAATCTCAGAAGGGAGATGAGTTCATTCACGTTTGCAGATACGTCTTGCTGACTGACTGGTGTGTGCCGATTAGCATGAAACCTATGTTAAGCAAGGCTTCCTGTGACCAATTGCCTCCAACCATCTAATATCAGCTATCTGATGTATTGGGATACGTTTCCACCCTACGATTTCTTCAAATTCATTATAAACTTGAGAATCAGTAGACTGTAAACGATACTGTTCTAGGTCATCGTTTTTTTTGATGAACTAAAACAATCTGATTACGAGAAATAAAGATGCAGTATCATGATGAAGGTGTCTGGTAGTCCAAGTTGTTTTATAGACAGACTGCCGTGATATACCCGGATTTGATTCCTCTTTGTAGTTTTTATAAGATATATTCAAGATAGAATTAACAAAGAGGATATTCATTTAGCTAGCTCAGGATTTTATCAATTGTGAAAGAGTTTTTACTAAAATTAATTTCCACTACAGTGTAGATGAATGAGAATGAGAGGTAATCTCTTTAAATGCCCAGCAGATCAAACAAAATAAACAGACATTTTTTAGAAAATTTACAGAGAATATTTTTTTGCTTTGTAATGGTGAGTAATTTATTTTATTAACAGGAAGCTGCATGAATAATAATTAAATAACAAGAAATATCAAACATTACTAATAACTCTCAAGCAAAACAACTACCCAAAGAACTTGATCAACAAAATCAACACAGGCATTAAGTATGACCGAAAACGTATTCCGAAAACATCAACCTCAACAGTCGTCATTCCATTTAGAGCAGAGACGTCAGACGATATCAAAAGAGTACTCAATCAGCTTGACATTAGAGTTTTCTTCAAAACATCAGAGACACACACACGGAGAAGGAACTTTGTCCACATAAAAGACCAAATCCCGAAAGATTCTCTATCTAATTGTGTCTATAAAATAAATTGCTTGAAATGTGATGCGATCTACATCGCACAAACATCTCGAGAAATCAAAATCAGAAGGAATGAACACCATAGAGGCGCATCTGTTCGACCATCGAGAAATCCGGTTGAACTAGAAAAACTTGAAAAATCATCAGCCATAGGTGGTGGTCTACACTCTATAGAATCAGGCCACAAAATTGATTTCGACAATATTGAAATAATTCAGAAAACTTCAGAAATCACAAAGAACGTCTAATATCATCGGAAGCACTTCATATCAAATGGAATCCAAATTGTATGAATAGGAATGATGGACTGGAACAGAACCTGACCTGGTTACAACACCTCCCTCCCCCATGAAGTGACAAAATCAACACAAATGTGATAAGCAAGTTCACTATGTAAACACACGCTGATTTTATAATTTTACACACTTATCAAATCCAACAATCTACACTTGGTTTTGTTACTTTTACCAACTGGTCAACTTGACAACAACAAATGACCCCATACTGAGGAACGATGATCAAGTTGGCAAACTTTATTTTGATACCATAGCAGATGTACTATTACCTCTGTTATTTAGTTTAGTGATCTTCATTGTTATTTTGACTTTCAATATGTCCTTTTAAGTTGAACTAAGTCTATTTTCTCACCTCTTAACTCTTTGTTATATATAATCTGAGTGGATTTTGTGAATTCCGGTTTAATAATACTTTGATATAGCTATTAGGAGCAGCACTGAATGGCGTTACGTCAGTAAAAGCAATAATATCGTTTTGTTTTTCATTCATTGGGAAATACAAGAAAACCTTTATTATAATGATTATCATATACCCAATGCCCAAGTTATTTCAAACTGTTAAAAGTGAACTTAGTTTGGACATATATAAATAAAAAGAACTCATAACTACTCATTAGAAGTTCGTAGTAAAACTAAAAATGAGGTGGTAAGGTAATCCTATCTTAGAGATAGATCGCAAAATGACATCCGTTTTGAAATTAAATGACAACCAGGAAGTATTAGAAAATGTTTTCGTCTTAGTTTCGAACTCTTCTGCACTACAAACCCAACGAAACCACTGGGATATTAATCACAAGGCCTCCAAGTGAGTACAAGGTGAGTACACTGACCAATCATTCCACTGGGATAGCTTATGAAGTTTTAACTTCTATCAGTTCACGGTACATATGACTACCATTAGGCAATGTCATTGGTGAGTATCTTTCCTCACACTGATCAATAATTTCTTAGAAAAACCCTAAGAATTTCATCCCATAATAAGTCACTAGTGAATGAGATATTAATTTTGAGAATTGAATTGACTTGAAGCTGAATGAATAACTAACTAGTCTAAACGTCCCCACTACGCCCAGTAGTGTCAATGGGTATTACTGCTGGGAGAGTTACAAACTCGGAAGAAACACTTATCTAGTACGCCTTGGTTTCAAATAGTTCTCTTACTGATGTCAAATCGAGATCTATCTTGAAAAATCGTTCAAATATCTTTAGCTCAACACTTATCAAACAATATCTTTTATAATTCAGAATAAAATAGTTAAAGCGAACAACTGTGGTTTCAATAAATTCTTCTTCAGGCTTTACAGCTATGAATCCATTAATTTAAGCATACAATAGCCAGTCAGCAAAGGCTAATTAGAATCATATCAAAAATGTGTATTGTCAAACAGGTATAATTTTTTAATATGCATGCTCAATGAGAATATGAGATTAAATGAGATGAAATAATTTAATGATATATATATATATATATATATATATATATATATATATATATATATATATATACTCAACTAAAATACAGGTTTCCAGAGTGAATGTAATCTGGGTGTGTGAGACAATATTAATACTACAGAAAATAAACCAACACATGGGGTGGACAAGACATAAATTCAAGACTAGAAATAATGACAATAATGATTTTCTATAGTTTGGTTTGTAACCGTAAGTTTTGTTTTTACGAATTGACCACGGATTGATATCGGTTAAAGAACCATTGAAAACCAAGGAGTACTGGACAGCTGCTGTTTCATCCTAGTTTGGGAATCATCGTCAGTACGCACCCACTGGGATTCAAACCCAGGACCTTCCGGTTACA